AGGGCTTAGGGCTTTTAGTTTTTCTATCGGGTTCATCGGGAATAGCGGGGAGTATTAGTTGAACCTTGGGTTACATGATATAGGTATTACGAATAGAATTCTCTTATGGTCCTGTTTAGAGTAATACTATAATAACCCCCAAAACCCTCCTTGAACCAACTCCCTTCAGAGCGCAAACCCTAAACCCTAAACCCTAAACCCTAAACCCTAAACCCTAAACCCTAAACCGACAGCTCAGTCGGGCAAGGTTGGAGGCAAACAGGACTGAAGAACTGGGGGGGAGGGGGAGGGCCTTTGTGGGGAGCATGGGCCTGAGGTGTTTTGGGGCTTCGGACTTAAGCTCTGGGGTTTAGGGTTTAGGGTTTAGGGTGTAGGGATTAGGGTTTAGGGTTTAGGGTGCAGGGTTTAGGTTCAGCATGTTCCGACCACATGGGTGTTAGCGCTGCAACTTAAACAACAAACATTTCCAACCCTGTCTCGCGCTCGAACATTCTCTCAAGCTTTGAAGGCACCACCGAAGCAACTCTTCTCGAGTATGTGAAGTATTGCCAAGCTTGAAAACGTCGGAAAGGCCTTCGGTGTCCGACATCACCTTGCCCCTGACAAACACCTTGCCATCAAAAGAAGCTGCAGGGTCCTGTTTGTCACCCGACGCTCGCTCAGAGGCAAGTTCGTTTGAGGGCGGCATCCAGTCCACCCAGTGCCGCAGCAACACGCATCCAACAAAGGTTGCCCCTGCGCCTGCCTGCGCAAAGCGAAGAAGAGGCCGTGAGTCCGCTGACTCGACCCATTCCCTCACTCTGTTCCGGACCCTCGTCACTAAAACCCTCAAGCGCTGAAACCCAAAAACACCCAAAATAAACGTCCAAAACCCTCACACGGCAACCCCCAAACCCCAAACCCTAAACCCTGAACCCAAGGGAGTCATACTCGGACACCTCAGGAAGTTTCCCCTAAGAGGTTCCCATAATATCCTAACATGGCCCTTATATTCCCTTTGAGGATCTTTACAAAGGGTCCCAAACCCAAGACCCAAGGGTGCAATGTAAGGGGTCCAAGGTAGAATTTCATGACAAACCCTAACGGTAAACCCTAACCCTAAACCCTAAACCCTAAACCCTAAGCCCTAAGCCCTAAACCCTAAACCCTAAACCCTAAACCCCAGGAAATGGGGCGCCGGGCTCCTCCAGCTTCGCGCGGACGTGTTCCAGGAGCTCGGAGTGCTGGCCCGACGAGAGGGCCTGTTTGGGGAGAGTGGGGAGTAGGGTCTAGGGTTTAGGGCTAGGGTTTAGGGTTTAGGGTTTAGGGCTAGGGTTTAGGGTTTAGGGCTTAGGGGTTTAGGGCTTGGGGTTTAGGGCTTTAAAGGCTTTAGGGTTTAGGGTTTAGGGCTTAAGCCTAAGGCTTGCCTACTGGGCGCTGATTATCTTATTATGGCAGTATAGCCAGGGATCCACCAAGGGTTTAGGGTTTAGGGTTTAGGGTTTAGGGTTTAGAGTTTAGGGTTTAGGGTTTAGGGTTTAGGGCTTAGGGTTTAGGGTTTAGGGTTTAGGGTTTTAGGGTTTAGGGGCCTGAGAAATTAGAACAGGGTTTGGAGGTGTGTTAGTATGGTAGAGTTACACTCGTTTGAATTTGGTTTTGGATGTTTATTATAGCATAATAATGATAAAGGAACCAAAAGGGATTTCGATTAGGAACTACTCCGACCCCTATATTGCCTCGGTGCAGCATCAGCATAAGAGTAAGAAGGAGAGCGCACATGGTCTCTTCTCCAAAAATACGGTCCCTTTTGGGGTCCTTATACGAAGGCGGCCCCTTGTTCAGGGTACTGCAATAGGGACCAGGAGTTAAAGAGCTTACCAAATAGAATTAAGGGTTGTGGGTTCGGGCCTGGAATCTAGAGCTTGTTGGTTATACATCTGCCATGGGCTACCCACACTTATCACACTTGTGCTAAGAAAACTTCAAGAAAGCACAGACTTTAGGGTTTCGAGTTGACGGTTTGGGGTTTAGAGTGTTCGGCTTTGTCTAAACCCTATTTATCGGCAAAAAGTGCCTTTCTTCATTGTAAGCCTTGTGCCCAATTTGAGAACCGCGCCTTGTTCGTTGTACTCCCTGGGCCCTATTAGGAGGCTTGCTCCAAATTAGGGTCTCCTCATAGATATTGACACTCCTTACACAAACGCCCCCAAAGAAGGAACCATCTGCAGGTTTCAACCTCACACTCTAACATCACAAACCAGAAGCATCAAACCCTAAACCCTTAAACCCTCAAATCCTTCAACCCCCGCCTAAACCCCAAAACAAAACTCTTAAATCCTCAAACCCCTAAACCCCTAAACCCTCAAACCCTTATATCCTTGAACCCCTAAACCCCTGAAACTCTTGATTACAAGCCCAACCTGTGAATTCTTGAAATTCCTTGAAGCCCTTAAACCCTACACCCCAAAACCCTTAAACGCCTAAAACCTTAAACCCTCAAATCCTTAAACCCTCAAACCCTCAAACCCTCAAATCCTCAAAAAACCCTTAAACCTCTAAGCCCAAGACCCAAAAACAAAACCCTAAACGCAAAACCCTAAACTAGATGGGGGCTTCCGGCATTAGGGGTACGGGGTCCTTACTATCAGGGGATCCTACTATTTGGGGATCTATATTGGGGGTCTCCTATCTTTTCGTAAACCCCCATATCATTGGCCTCTGCCGCCAGCACTGCCCGCCGCAGCTCCTTGCAATGCCATGTGGGGCTTGAGGATGCTCGTTCCGGGATTCGGGTTTAGGGTTCAGGGTTTAGGGTTTAGGGTTTAGGGTTTGGGGTTTAGGGTTTAAGGTTTAGGGTTAGGGTTGAAGGTTTAGGGTTTAGGGGCTTCAGGAGGTTGAGGGGGCTTCAGGGACTTTAGGGGTTTTTGGGGGGGGTTTGGGGGGGGTTTGGGGGGGGTTTGGGGGGGGGGGCTTGGGGCTTCGCGGTTTCTGGGGTTGGGGTGTTGCGGGTGCGTTGAGGGTACAAGGATTCGGGGCTCAGATGCTGGCTTTGTGGCGGTTCAGGGGGTTGGGGTTTATGGGGGGGCCTTTGGAAAGCATCGCCAAGCCAACGATCTGCAGCCGACTTCGGAATACCCTAAACCCCAAACCCCAAACCCCAAACCCTAAACCCTAAACCCTAAACCCCAAACAGGTTCTTGCATAGCCAGGCTCGGAGCCCGAAGCACAAACAGCTTGCACAAAACTCCCCCCCCCCCCCCCCCGAACCCTAAACCCGAAACCCCTAACCCTGAACCCGAAACCCTCTAATATAGGGGCCTTTAAAGATTAGAATAGGGTTTTGGGGGTTTATTTTAGTACACTTATAACGGGGCCATAAGGGAATACTAGTAGGAATTAAGCGAATACTATTCATTAGTAATTATTCCGTCCCCTATATTACATCCTCTGATACCACCCTAAACCCTAAACCCTAAACCCTAAACCCCAAGTGGCGCCGCATGCTTGGATTGCGCTCCTCCAGCTCTGGCGAAGGAGGCGGCCGCTCTTCTTCTTCTGAGCACGGTGCGGGCTTAGGAACCCTTCTTCCTCTTCCCTAAACCCTAACCCTAAACCCTAATCCCTAAACCCTAAACCCCTGAACCCTAAACTTTTGTGGGTTTAGGGTTTCGGGCTTCGCCGCCCACAGGTGCCTCGAAACCCTACACCCGAAGCTCAAGACACGCCAAGCGGACTACTTGCAGGCTCAGGAAACCCAGGGTTTAGGGTTTGGGGTTTAGGGTTTAGGTTATAGGGTTTAGGGCCACCCCCCCCCCCCCCGCCCCCCCTCCAAACCTCAGTCCCCAAAGTCCTCAAACCCTAAATCGAAATCTTCCAGTATCTTGGGAAGACCTTCCCCAAACAAAGAGGTTCCCTAAACCCAAAACCCTAAACCCTAAACCCTATGCCCTTAAACCTGAGAAGCCAACCCCCGGTCCTGAATACCTTACGCGCTAACATCCTCGACCCCACCAGGAAGAATCACCTCGTAACATCCAGCAGAACAAGTATCTAGCATGTAGAGCGTCAGCTGAGCCCTGAAGCCCCAAATCGCAAACCTTCAGCCCCAAGAAACATAGGAGACAATGAAATGAAACACACACACACACACACGAAGAATATACAAATACATGTATATAACAATGATAACCATAACAACAATAAGAAGAATAATAACAACAACAATAAGCATAAAGAGAATAAGAACAAATGCAAATGTGTAAACTGAAAATAGAACAACATTACAAAATCCAAAAAAAGAAACGGAGAGAGAGAGAGAGAGAGACAGAGAACGCCCGGCCGTGCTCTGAGGCCGCAGAGGAGAAGATGTTCAAAAGCATCGAGATGGTGGAACCTGGGATGGCAAAACGAGGGCCTTAGGGTTTTGGGGATTCTTGGTTTAGGGGGCTTAGGGTTTTAGCAATTTGTGGGTTAGGGGTGAGGGCTTCCGGGTTTAGGGTTTAGGGTTGAGGGTCTAGGGTTTTGGGGTTTAGGGTTTAGGGTTCAGGGCTTGGGGTTTAGGGCTTAGGGTCTGGGGTTTAGGGCTTAGGGTTTAGGGCTTAGGGCTTAAGGCTATTCTGGTGGTGGTACACGCACGCGTTCCAGACTCCTCAGCACTCGTGGGGGCGTGGGGGCGAAATTAGCGGTCCTGAAACGAAAGTACCCCTCGGAGGGTGAATGGCTCAACAGTTCAGGAACCCTTAAACCCTAAGCTCTAAGCCCAACACCCTGAACCCCAGCCCCCAAAAGCCTAAACCTAAGCTCCCAGCCGAAAACCCCCAGCTAGGGTTCCTGACAACGCCCGAAGGAACTGTAGCCCCCAAGGAACCCGAGCAACTTTCGGTTTAGGGTTTGGGGTTTATAGTTTAGGGTCTGATTTAGAGTTTAGAGTTTAGGGTTTAGGGTTTCGAGCTTAGGGTCTAGGGTCTTCTTTTTGGATCCAGAGTACTGGCCCAAAATGGTGTTGAATAGTTAAGGGTTTAGGACAGGTTTAGGGGGTACCACCCGCTTCACCAGTTTAGGCAGGAACCTAAACCCTAAACCCTAAACCCTAAACCCTAAACCCTAAACCCTAAACCCTAAACCCTAAACCCTAAACCCTAAACCCTAAACCCTAAACCCTAAACCAACGGAGCCCCGGGCGAGCTGTGCTCGTGTCGGTTTGGCCGCTGCCCTCTTCGCTGCCTCATTGAAGGGTTTAGGGTTTAGGGCTTAGGGTTTAGGGTTTAGGGTTTAGGGTTTAGGGTTTAGGGTTTAGGGCTTAGGGCTTAGGGCTTCGGGCTTCGGGCTTCGGGCTTCGGGCTTAGGCAGGGATACCCTAAACCCTAAACCCTAAAACCCTAAACCCTTCTTGAAGTGACGGTGAACTTTGAAGCTTCTCTCGTCCGAGGGCTCGGGGTGCAGGGATCAGCATGGGGTTCAGGGCCCTCAAAGGCCCTAAGCCCTAAGCCCTAAACCCTAAGCCCTAAACTCTAAACCTTAAACTTTAAACCCTAAATGTAAAGCTGTGGAAGAAACCCCACCGTAGCCCTCCTGGCAGGCGTCCGACTTTCTTTCCGAAGGCACACGAGTTTGGCTCCGAATGGAAAAGGAGCGGGTGGCGGAGGCCGGGCCCCAAGGGTCCTTTCTTAGTTTTTAGATTGGTAGCGGAGCTACGGCTCCAGGGTTGTCCTTCGTATCATGTCGGCCGTGCCCGCATGCGGTGTGAGTGGTTCGTTCTATGAGCCCGTTGGTCCGCGACCTCGCACTTCCCCTTTACATGATCCGCCGCATGTTGACGGTGATGGCGTTGATGGACGGTGCGGCGGCAGAGGTGATGATCAAGTCGGAGCACATGATCGTGTGGGTGCAAACCGTCCTGAACCTTCGGACGACAAGTTTGGATGGAGCTGGAGTGCAGGCCGGGATTCTTCCTGGTGGGGATACTCCTGGGGAGATGGCCAATGGGCAGCCGGAGACTGGGGTCACGGCTGTGATGGCCATGCGAGAAGGGCAAGCCGAGGCGAGACTTGGGGCACTACCTCCACTGGCTCTGGGTCCGCGGGTGGCATGGATCCAGACGGCGAAAAGGGAGCTTCCTTCCCCGACGGGTGGAAGCCACAAAGCTTGGGCTCCGAAGACAGGCCACCCCGAAATGGAGACGGTGGGCGTGGTCCATCGGAGAAGATGGTGGTGCCGACCTTCTCCGGCGCGCTTGAGCCCGGGGAAGAACTTGGGGCGACCGCTCGCTCATACCTTCGACAGATCGCAGCGTGGAGACGGATGACAAGGTTGGCTGCGAATCAACAAGGGCTCACCTTGTACCAGGCCCTGACAGGAAAGGCTTGGATAGACGCTGAAAGATTGGATGTGGATCGCTTGGCCACCGAGGACGGCATCGAGTACTTCATCACGTGGGTGAAGGACAGGTACCTGGATGTGCAGATCACCCAGGTGGGGAGGAGCCTGAGTGACTTCTTCAGGCGCCTCAAGAGGCGTCCTGGACAATCGATCAGGGACTACATGAGTGAGTTCGATCGGGCCCTGGCTCGACTTCACGAGTGTGGGTGCGTTCTTCCAGACTTGGCATCGGCATGGGTCTTCGTTGACAGGATGGAGTTGGAGGAGGGAGCGGAGCTCAACCTCCTCGCCTCGGTAGGGAACCAGTACAACCTCAAGATGCTTCAGCAGGCGGCCATCGTCCAAGATCGTACCCTGAGAAAGCCCTGGGAGAATACCCATCGTCCCGAGAAGAACCCCAGGCGAGAATGGTGGAACAAGAGACCTCAGACGGCGCACATGGCAGAGATCCCCGAGGACCACAACGAGGGCGATGGCATCAGCGATGGAGGCGACAGTGAAGAAGCAGTGCCCGAGTCGGTGGCCCTCGAGTACTACGAGTCGTTCATGACACATGAAACGGCGAAGCACAAATACAGAGAGAGCATGCGCCTTCGCGGGAGTGATCCGAGTTCCCTCCAGGAGATGGCGACCGCGAAGCTCGAGGCAGCCAAGGCCAGGAGCTATTGCGCAGGATGCCGTCGCAAAGGGCACTGGCATCGAGACGCCTGTTGTCCGCTGAACCAGGCCAAGACAGCGGGTGGCGGCACTACGTCCTCTCCTATGCCTTCCTCCACGACGAGCACTTCGGCGGCCACGAAGGGGACTGGACCTAAGTCAAGCTATGCCTGCCACGTGGTACATGTGACATGGGATATGGAGCATGAGAAGGTCCCTACCTCCTTGGCGGCGATCACGGACACGGCGTGCTCGAGATCGGTGGCGGGCCTACCATGGATTGAGCACTATATCACCCTGGCCGGCAAGGTCGGATACCAGCCGGTGATCATGGAGTGCACGGAGTCCTTCAAGTTCGGTGCATCACGCATCTTCGAGGCCTCGTATGCCATGCTGGTGGGGTTCGCCATGGGCAAGTTCGAGATCTGGCTGAAGGTCGCCGTGGTCCGAGGTGATGTTCCTCTCCTCATGTCTCGCCCAGCATTGGGGCGACTCGGGATGGTGATGGATGTCCAGCACAACACCGCGACCTTTCGCGCCTTGGGAGTCGAGGACTACCCCCTTCTGACCACCGACACCGGCCATCCTGCACTTCCCGTAGACCCGGTTTGTCCGACTCCGGAGAATGCCCGGTCCCATGAGTGGGCCTCGAACGAGATCCGCATCGTTCCGCAGAGCGAGTCATATATTGGGGCTGGGGTTCTCAGGGGGAAGGGGAAGGTCTTCGAAAGTCTTATGGTTGGGAACGTCGAGGAGTTTGGTTCGGAAGATGTGGTTGGCCCTCCTCCTCTTCCCCGAGCCTGTGAGACGGATAGGAAAGCCACAGAACAGCAAGTACTCGGTCATCAAGCTCCCCATCTTCCTTGTGTATCTCTAGGAGGCCCCGTATCTCAAGATGACCCTCGACAAGTACATGTACATTCCCGACAAGCACCTCCCAAAGAGCCATCGAGGTCAGCGCATTCCCCACTGAGTTTGAGATCCCCTACCCAAAGCAACCCACCTGTGTTCTATCCCAAGAAGATTGGTGAAACTGTACGCAACATGTTGCTCATGGATAAGCTCAACCCCAAGACCTTTGCGATGTGGTGGCGTCAGGCATCCATAAGTAACGACTTCTGGATAGAGGGTGAGTACACTTTGGTGAGGATCCATGTCGTACCTAGGAGGTCCTTTTTCGATCCTGGAAGTTGGAACACAGAGTATCAAGATCAGAAGGCTGCATTAATGAGCTCCTTGGGACATCTCAGAACCACCGAGGGAATCTCCTGTAAGTCCTTCCGAGAGTATGCCCCTGTCCATGATGAATGGCGGAAAGCAGAGAGCAAGTCCGCTTTTCCGCTTTTGTGGATCGGGAGATCAATCTTTAGCAGATCGCACCCTGTGCCCGATCTCGACAGTGCTTCGTGCCCGTCCCATGGCCCCGAAGACAATCCTCTTGACCGCCCCCATCGTGACGAAGCAGAAGGGACTATGGGAGCTCAACAGGGAAGAGCTGTTGCGGGAGGCGGAAGCCCGGGGGTTGGTGACGCACCCCAAGTGGACCAACGGGGAGATCCGCTCCATCATCCAGGAGGACATCGCCGGGCAGAACACTGGATCGAGCCTCTCAATCCAGAACTTGAGCAAGATGACGCTGACAGAGCTCGAGGATGCGGTGGTGGCAGCCGGGATGTCCCCGCCGGTGAAGGCGAACAAGGGTGTCCTCATGAGAATGCTGAGAGACAATGGGGGTATAGGGCCCCAAACCCTCATGACCTTCGGCCGCTTCAAGGGACTGATGTTCCACGAGACCCCTCCGGGGTACCGGGCCTGGGCGCTGAAAGAAGCACAGAACAACAGCAACGCCAGCGAGGACTTGAAGATGTACGCTACCTGGTGCGAGAAGGAAGCAGAATCGACCTCCACGAACAGGGCCTCGACGAGCTACATCGACCCGGAGGACATGGCAACGGTTCCGTACTACCCGGAGGAGGAGCCCGCGTCGGTGTGGAGTCTGGTGACATCAGCAAGGGGAACACCGAAGAGCAGAGCCCATCCGGGACGCCACGGGGATGTGGCTCACTACCCTTTGACCCCACCGAGATCAACGAGACGACCGGCACCTTCAGCGACTCCCTCTCAGGCGGGCGAGATGGACGAGGACCAGGACCCCGAGCACGAGATAGCAATCTTGGAGAGGCGATTGGTGGAGTTGAGGGGCCAGCACGGCCTCCGCCCCGGGGGCATGTGAATCGAGAAGATGGCGAGGTCTTCCAGGACTGCCTGGAGGATGTGGGGGGCCAATGTGACCTCGCCGAAATCACCCAAACCCCCAGTTCCGGGAGACCACACTGCACGGATGACAACTCCAATGAAGACGACGACTTTGTCCGGCAGTACGTTATTCAGGAAAACCATCACGAGACCCCGGAACATGATGAAGTCCTGGACTACAAGCAGAAGATCTCCGAGTGTGAGAAAAGAGCCAAGACGAAGCTCCAGGAAAAGAAATTCGACTATGACGACCTGACAGAGCTAGTGCGAGCCATTCCCCTCAAGAAGACCAGGAAGCACAGGAACATCCAAGGAGGCCACGGGACCAGTGGGCAGTCCTTCGTTGGGGGCCTCTACACACATGGCGGGCTGCGCGGCATCACTTCACGCAGCACGGAGCTTCCTTGGACCATCCGATACATCAACATGTGCATGCGCAACAAAGTCTCCGGGAGCTGGACGTCCTTCGTCCTTCTGAAAGATGTTCAGACCTCAGTGCACAAGGACGTTCACAACTTGGGAGGGACCGAGGTGGTCACTGTGACTGTAGGAGATTTCTCAGGTGGGGGCCTCTGGCTCCATGTCACGGATCCCGACGAGTTGTCCGAGTCCGAGATCGTCTGGAAGGACAAGCCCGGCTCCCTCGGCGAAAAGATTCCTGGGCGGGTGGTCTCAACAAAGGAAGCACCACTCCGGATAGACCCCAAACGCTACCACGCGACCGAGGACTGGGTCGGAGAGAGGTGGTGTTTGGCTTTGTTTTCATCAAGAGGATACCCAGGACTTGAACAACGGGAACGCGATGTCCTTCGAGATCTTCGTTTTCCTCTTCGCGGTCTTCCCAAAGGCCGAGGAGGAGATGACACTTTCCCGGAGACCACGAGGCCCAAGAAGAGCGTCCGGAAGCAGCTATGGGGAAAGGCAAAACGCCTGGCCGCACTGACGACTTGGTGCACCATCGCAGCATCGATGTGCGCCTCAGAATTGCTCCCGACCCCACGTGGAGTCGAGAGCGTGTCTCTCATGGAGATCGGAGGATGGGAGAAGACCCTGGAACTTAGCGCCATGGACTACCCCACGGCCGAGCCCCTCTTTTACGATGAGCTCGACAATGGGATAGTCGGTGGATGTGATGCCATGGAGGCGTGGCGCGCGCTCCAACCGGCTGTGCTTTGGATCCATGGTCGAGAAGATAAGCCTTGCCCATTTGAAGTCGGCGATCTGGCGAAGCGCCAAACCATCCGTGGAGGAGGACTCGTCGTCGAGGCCTACAACAAGGACCCGATTTGGGAAGAAGAGTGGATGGAGGATGTGGTCAGATTTGGCGACAACCTCACCGAGACAACCCAGGACGATGGCAAGCGCACTTTGTCCCTGAACCGGGAGAATGTGGAGGACCTTGTGAAGATTGGGGGAGCCACGGAGGCAATCCTGCGGCGCTACCTCGAGACGAAGGAGAAAGGGACAGAGGATGAGGCCTCCCGGATAGAGGAAGGGGAGGACGACATCTCTGGCAGCGTCCCGGGGGAGGTGTATGTCGTGGACAAGAAGAATCGGCAAGAGTCTGGAGCGGATGGAGCACGGAATGAAGATCGAGGGGCAGGGGCAATATCCTTTCAGGACGACAAGGACATCCCGAGCGAGATCAAGTCGGCATTGCGCCGGCTCCATCAAAATTTGGGTCATCCTTCAGGAGGTGACTTGGCGAGACACCTCAGGATGGCCGGGGCCGGGGCTGAAGTAGTCCAGGCCGTCAAAAAGATGAGATGTCAAGTGTGTGAGCGAAGCCGAAAAGGAGCTTCGCCCAAGCCGGCCAGCTTCCCGACTCTTCTGGAGTTCAACCAGGTGGTCGCTCTCGATGCCTTTACATGCTACGACTGCTCTGGAGCGAAACATGAGTTCATGATGGCCCTCGACCTCGGGACTGGATTTGGATTGGGGGCAAGCCTCAAAGGGCACTCCAGCGAAGCCATGGAGGCCACGTTCAATGAGATGTGGTGCCAGGTGTTCGGGCCACCGACCACCTTGGTGCTGGATTTGGAATCGGGACTGCAAGCCGGGTTGGGGCGTTTCAGTGAATGGCATGGGACAAAGATCAGGCCGATTGCAGCCCAGGCCCACTTTCAACAGGGAGCAGTTGAACGTCACATTCGACTGTGGAAGGAGGTGTGGGCCAAAGTGGTTGATGAGAATGCAGTCCTTGCAGGAGACGTCCCCATGGCCACCACTTCGGTGAACACAGCCCTGAACACACTGAAGCGAGACTCAGGGTTCAGCCCTTCCCAAGCAGTGTGGGGACGCGACCCCCAAATCCCAGAAGAAGTTCTCAGCGGAGCACATGGCGAACACTTCGACCACGTGCTGACGAAGGACCGTCGCCGGGCGAGAGAGATGGCGCTGCGCACGGCGGCGAAGGAGGCGTACTTCAAATGCCACAGAGACGCAAAGTTCAGGAGGGCGCTCCTACAGAGGTCAAGAGTTGCAGGGCCCGAACTACAGATTGGGGACCACGTGTACATGTATCGCAAGCCCAAGAACCAGAAGTCCTGGTACTGGTATGGCCCCGCGGTCCTGATTGGGAGAGAAGGCCCGAACTACTGGGCTTCTTTCGCCGGGAGATGCCACCTCATCGCTCCAGAACACGTGCGTCTCGCGACGGGGGAAGAATTAGGACAAGCCTTCTCCCTCAGGGCTACCAAGGACGATCTCTACCGTCTGATCGAGGCGGATTTCGACGATGAGGAGATGTTCGTCGGGGAACCAGTAGAAGGAGCCCGGGAGGACGAGCAGAGGAGTAACAGGGATCCTGGCAGGTCATCTGGTGAGGCTCGAGAAGAAGTTTCCCCCGAAATTCCCCACCTTCGCAAGCGCATCAGGACGAAAGGCCCTCCTTCTCAGAACCAAGGGCTTTGGACGGATGGGAACGGAGGCGAGGGAGAGGCCCTAGCCATCGATCACAGCGTGGTGAAGGACACGTATATGATGAAAAGGGCTCCGACACGCCGCAGTAGAGAGAAGGCGCTCGAGAAGGAGATTCCCTGGTCGTTGATTCCGGAGGACCAGAAAGAGAACTTCAAGATTGCAGAGTTGAAGCAGTACGAAGAACACCTGCAGTATGGTGCCCTCGAGCCGTTGGACGTGGAGATGAGTAGGAAAATCAACCAGCTCAAGAAGGACAGGGTACTGGACAGTAGGTTTGCCTACCGAGATAAGAACTGGAGCAAGCGCCGCAAAGATCCAGGCATCAGCTGGAAAGCAAAATCGAGGTTAGTGATCAGTGGGCACCGAGATCCAGATCTCCTTCGCGGCCTCCCTACCCACGCGCCGACGATCTCGAGGCAAGGCATCCACCTCCTCCTGCAGATCCTCGCCTCGAACCTCAAGAATGGGTGGACTGGGCATGCAGGCGACGTGACTGCAGCTTTTCTTTCGGGCGAAGAACTTCAGCGGGAGCTATATCTCCGTCAACCCCGTTCCGGCCTTGGATCTCTACATCCCGAACAACTGCTACGTATACGGAAAGGCATTTTTGGCCTTGTAGACTCGCCAGCTTCATGGTGGGCGAAGTTGAAGAAGACCCTCAAGGCCCTGGATGTCGATGATGGCTCCGGAAAGAGGTGGAGGGTGACTCAATGCTCACTGGATCATTGTATCTTTATGGTACAACCAGTCTTGGAGGAAGGAGGTGAAGGCGAAGTAAAACTGGGGGCCCCCGAGGCCTATCTTGGCATCCATGTCGATGACATCCTCCTGATCGGGGACGACGAGTTGTGCCAGCTCTTAAAGAAGAAGTTGAGTGACACCTTCCCTATCCAGGAATGGGAGAGCAACGCCTTCGACTATGTGGGTTCGTACATCGAGATCGGCAAGGACATGGTCACTCTGACACAGTCGGGGTACGTGGGCACGCGCCTCTTTACCTTAGAAATCCGTCCCGGGCAGCAAGACTGGGAAGAGGCTGATGCAGAACAACGCCATGACAATATGTCTCTGATCGGAGCTTTGTCGTGGCTGTCGAGTCAATCCCGTCCTGACCTTCAAGTTGGAGTGTCGTTGAGTCAACAATGCCAGAGAAACCCCACGGTAGGCGACTTGAAGTTCACCAACCTCCTCGTGAAGAGGGCCTTCGAGCACCAAGACAAGGGGATCACCTTCCGGGCCATAGACCTCGACCGCGCGGTGTTGCTCTGCTACCACGACGCCGGATGGGCCAACTGCCCTCAGAGCCAGGATGACCCATACTACAGCCTGACCAATGAGGAGGAGCAGAACGGGATGATCTTGGAGGGCCCCTATGCGATCAAGGACCGCAAGGCGAAGAGGACGAACTCGTCCATTGCCTCGCAGATAGGCACCCTCTTTGCATTGGCCGACGAGGAGGTCTTGCACGGACATCGTCGAATGGCAAGCGTCCTTGACTGGAAGAGTTCAGCATGCGACAGGGTTTGTAGATCCACTTTCGCAGCGGAAACGATGGCCTGCGCGACCGCTATTGAGACCGGAGAGTACATAGTCAAATTCCTCGAGAGTTTGTTGAGGGGAGAATTGTACAGAAGAGGACCATCTCGATTCCGGGTCCGATTTCTCTCTGATTGCCGAAGCCTGTTTGACCATCTGACAAGAGAAGGAGTTCCCAGGGTTCCAAGCTGCAAGAGACTGGCCATTGACCTGGCTGCTATCCGTGACGATTTAGAGGGTTTCGGCCGTCTCGCTTGGATCCCCACAGGGGCACAGATGGCAGATTTGCTCACGAAACCACTGAAGAGTGGGGCATGGTGGGCACAGTTTCAGGAGGGTTTGAAACTCACTTTTAAAGAGGAGGTTTCGAAGCAGTGTAAAGCTGTGGAAGAAACCCCACCGTAGCCCTCCTGGCAGGCGTCCGACTTTCTTTCCGAAGGCACACGAGTTTGGCTCCGAATGGAAAAGGAGCGGGTGGCGGAGGCCGGGCCCCAAGGGTCCTTTCTTAGTTTTTAGACTAAACCCTAAACCCTAAACCCTCCTCCTCCCCCCCCACTCCCCCCCACTCCCACTCCCCCCCCAAAAAAGATCCCACAAATGCTCCGAGCGAGCAGCTTTCCGGCTCGTCGTCCTCCTCATCGGGCCAGGCCGAGCCTTCCTGTTTTAGGGATTTGGAGGTTTAGGGGTTTAGGCATTCAGGGTTTAGGGTTTGGGGTTTGGGGTTTAGGGTTTAGGGTTTAGGGTTTAGGGTTTAGGGTTTAGGGGCTTAAGGGTGTAGGGCTCAGGATTCGGTACGGGGTCCGCAACCGAAGGGCTTCAGGGGTTTAGGGAAGGCTTGTAGGCTTTAGGGGTTCAGGGGTTAGGTCAGGTTAGAGTAGGACCCGAAACCCTAAATCCTAAACCCTACAATACAACCTAAATGCTAAACACCAACCCCTGAACCCTAAACACGTTTAAGGTTTAGGGTCTAGGGTTAGGGTTTAGGGTCTGGGGGTTCGATCTGGGATTGGTGGTTGTGGTTTGGGGGTGCGGGGTTCAGGGATTCAAAGGTTCAGGAGTTAAGGGATTCAGGGCTTGGGGTTTAGGGTTTAGAGTTTAGCGTTTAGGGTTTAGGGTTTAGGGTCTAGGGTTTAGGGTAAGGCTTTAAGGGGTTTAGGGGTTCGGCTCTGAAGGGGCCGGGCCACAGAAACCGAACACCGGCGCCTACAAACCTTGCACCCTGACGAACCCCTCCAAAGCCGCTAAAACCTATGACCTTGTTCAGGGTTTAGGGTTTAGGGTTTCGGGTTTAGGGTTTAGGGTTAGGGTTTAGGGTTTAGGGTTTGGGGCCCAAACCCCAACACCCCAAACCCGCAGCCCTACAACCCCTCAACCATGAACCCTACACTCTCAAAACACCCGTCACAAGGGTAGCTCTCTAAGTTAAGGTCCGTTGTGGGTCCCTATAGAGTATGGCACCCTCAAAATCAGGACCCCAACAAGCACCCTAATTTAGAGAACTAGCCCTAAACCCTAAACCCTAAACGATCACAAACACTGGGGGGCACACCTCAGGGGTCCAGCCGCGGGCAGCTACGGCCTCTCGCAGCGCTCTCTCTCTCTTGAGTGGGTTTAGGGTTTAGGGTTTAGGGTTTAGGGTTTAGGGTTTAGGGTTTAGGGTTTAGGGTTTAGGGTTTAGGGTTTAGGGTTTAGGGTTTAGGATGCAGCTTCAGGGAACTCAAGCCCAAAGCCCCCTTCAGCCTCTTTACAGCCTCCTGCAAATGAACCCCAAAACGTTTAGCGCTTCGGGTTGTTTAGGGTACAAGGGTTTAGGGGTACAAGGGTTTAGGGTTTAGGGTTTAGGGTTCAGCATCTCAAGTCCGAGAATTCACTAGTCAAGCTCTTCACTCTGGTATCGAAAATCTACCCACCCACCCTTTGGATCCCACAATATAGGAAAACATCATAGTAAAAGAACGGAGTTGTCGACCCCTCAGCATAGGAAAATGTCATAGTTTTTGTTTATCAAAAGAACGGAGTTGTCGACCTTAATTTGTCTCAGGACAAACCATTTCAAAAACATAACCAGAAGCGACGAACATTCGCAACCCTCCAACGCTGGCATCGCAGGGCAATGGCAGGTGGGGGTGTAAGGGTGAGGGGGGGGGAGGGTGCTGGGGCTGGGGAGGGTGCGGGGCTGGGGAGGGAGGGGGTGGGGGGGGAAGGGATGGGAGGGAGGGGGGGCGGGGGCAAAAACGGCAAAATTTGCACAAGCAGCAAATTTTGCCCACAAGCAGGCAAATGCCCACAAACAGGCAGATTTGCCCACGAACCAGGCAAATGCCCACAAGCAGGCAAATTTGCCTGACTCGTGGGCAGAGTTTGCCGCCCACTGGGGCCATTAAGGTTTATGTACATAAAGAAAGGGAAGTTTAGGGTTTAGGGTTTAGGCCCTAAACCCTAAACCCTAAACCCGCATGAGGCCCGACACCCTAAACCCCCAAGGCTCAGCCGCCTAGGGGTTTAGGGTATAGGGTTTAGTGTTGAGATCCCCAGTTGTAGTCCTTGAGGTCCCACCGGCAGCACCTAACTTTGTGGTTAGTCCGATATAGTGAGAAGATTCGGTACCTGAAGCCCTGTGCCTCGAACCCCAACCCTCAACCCCTAGCCTTTCTCAAACCCCAAGGCCAATCAACGCGAAACCCTTTGCCCTAAGTCGCCCTATGAACCCTAAACCCGAAACCCCACACCCCAAACCCCAGACCCTGAACCCTCAACCCCCGGCCCACCTTTCGCCAGACATCTGCGCGCGACTCGCTACCGGAAGCCTTCTCCTGGGTTCTAGGGTTTAGGATTTCGGGTGGAAGGTTTTAGGGTTCGGGGGTGTAGGTTTGATGTTATTAGGGGGATTGAGGGCTTAGGATTGAGGGTCTAGGGTTTGTAGTTCAAGAACTAAGTTCTAGCGCAAAAGGGGTCTCAGTGGGACCAAAGACATGGCTCTGGATTCTGGAGGGTTCAGTTGAGTGGCACAAGCCCCTTGACTGGAGCTTACCAGCTAATTAAGCCTGACTCCACCCCAAACCTGCCCAACACCCTGAACCCCACGCCCGGAACCCTAAACCCCTAACCCTGCACCCTAAACCCTGAACCCTAAACCCGAAACCCTAAACCCTAAACCCCAAACCCCATACCCTGAACCCGAAACCCGAAACCTCGGCTCCGAAAACCCGAAACACCCACGCCATGCGCAATGCATGCGCCTCCTGCTGGGGGGCCACCCCAAGCCTAGGGTTTGGGGTTTAGGGTTTAGGGTTTAGGGTTTAGGGTTTAGGGTTTAGGGTTTAGGGTTTAGGGTTTAGGGTTTAGGGTTTAGGGTTTCAGGTTTCAGGTTTCAGGTTTCAAGTTTCAAGTATTCGGGTTTCGGGTTTCGGGCTTAGGGTTCTAGATTCGACCCAAGATATCCCGAAACCCAAGACTCCAACGCTCTCACACCTTGCGCGCAACAAAACATACAAAAGACATAACAGATCATGTCACGTAATGGATCATATAGGACTATATCACAGAATCTCACAAAACAAAGGAAAGTATAATGTGACAAATCACCTCCCAGCCAGCTCAACCTGAAAACTCATAGGTCCTCCGGGCACACATCTTTCCAGCTGCTGCTGTCCTATGAGCCGCGGGAGATGGGGGAGCCAGAGAAAAAGCCAAACAGGGTGCTTATTCTGTTCTTTTTTAAGGGGGGAGATATGAGCGGGGTAGGTTTCCTACAGCGAAGGCACTTATTCTTTTTGGGGTGGTGAGCGGGGGGGGGGGGGGGGGAATGCTTGTAAAGGGGATTACACGATACTTGGGTACTTGGGGTGTATAAGGGGTGCCCAAACTTTGGGAAGTACCCCCTAAACCCTCCACCCTAAAAACCCTAAACCATATACTCAAGATCATCTTTGCCCCCAAAACGCTGAGCAAAACAAACTAAACCACAGAGAGCTTCCGGGTCAAGAATCTAGGCTTTGCATTCACAGGAAGTTCAGTCAGGGTTTCGGGTTTAGGGCTTTGGGTTTGTTAGAGTGTCGGGGGTACTATGGTATTAGGGTTTGTGGCTTAGCACCCAGCCCGAAGAGCTAAACTGTTCATCTGCAAATCAGCCCTGAACCTGTTTCTGCCGAAACAGGATTAAGCGATTAGGCGGTTCAGAGCTCTAGGGTTTAGGGTTTAGGGTTTAGGGTTTAGGGTTTAGGATTCTTTAGGCTGCAGGGGCTTAAGCCGGACATCTGCCAGAACAGTGCACTCCTGTGGCGACCACCCACGGGCAGATTTTGCCTGCGCGAGGGCCCAAAACCTCGTCCCAGCCCCACCCTAAACCCTAAACCCGAAACCCGAAACCCGAATCCCTAAACCCTAAACCCTAAACCCTTTAAACCCTAAACCCTAAACCTGTTGTCTCTAGCTCGCTGTCTACAGCAAGGCACAGGTTGACGCTGCCTGGTCCGGTTTGGCTTTCAGCGTTTAGGGCTTAGGGTTTAGGGTTTAGGGTTTAGGGTTTAGGGCTCAGTAGGGCTTAGGTTGGGATGTTCCCCCTCAGACTAGAAGTCCATAATCGGGACCATTGTAGGGGGCACTATAGTCCCTACTATGGACCGTTAGTATAAGGGGGGGGGAAACATCTCAAGGTTTGGGGGTTTAGGGTTCAGAGCTTTAGGGTGCAAGAAGCTCTCTACACGTGAACTGTTGTGCCGGCTGTGGCGGCCGCAGTAATCGGACCAAAATTGAGTCCGCGGAGGCCGAACCCTGCAGAACCCGGGTTTAGGGGGTTGAGGGTTTAGGGTTTAGGGCTTCGGGTTAAGGGTTGCAAGTAGAGACGATGTTGCAGCAGTGCCGGATTTCATGGAGGGTCATGTCGGTGTTGGCTTATGGGGTCAGCAACACTCGATCCCGATTCCGCTGGGGCCGTCACCAAATGCCACGCGTCCTTCTTGTCTTTCTTGTCCTTCTTATCCTTCTTCTCGTTCTTCTCATTTTTCTCATTCTTCTCTTGGGAGTTCTCCTGCAGACGACACCGACTGAAGGCTGTGCCTACCTGGGCTAACCGTTGTAGCCCTCCCAAACCCTCCCCGGAAACGCACGCGAAAAAACTCCAACAATCTCCAAGAAGACAGCAGGGTGGAGGAGTGAGAGGAGCGGTTTGTACTCCTAAGGCTTCTGTGGAGTTTGGGGTCATGGACGCCCTCCCGACCATCCCCGCACAGAAAGTCTCGAGCCTTGTTGCACACGTCCTTGACCTTGTCCTCACGGCAAATGGGAGTTGTCATGAAAATATACAAGGGATATTATCGGGCTTATCTTTAGGTATGGAAAGGGACAGGGTGCCAGGCGCCTACACCCTAAACCCCTCATGCCAAATTGCCCCCCCTCCCGGCCATGGAATTTGACTTATCCTCCATATCTGAAAGGGAAACCTTCTAGGAAGAGGAGAGATGCTAAAGGTATTCCTCTTCAGATATAGAAGAAACAAAGGCTCCAATATGTAGTGTACATGTATGTGCATATATATATATATACAGATATATGTATATGGTGAGTTCTCTAATAAGCGTCCTTTTTTGGGTCTTTGGAGTCCTCATGAAGAAGGCGGCCTGTGCTATTCAGGGCAACTACCCAAAAGAGACCATCAGCTTTCAGAACCGACCATACAGATAGAAAGGAAAGATATGCCCTAAACCCTAAACCCTATACCCTAAACCCTAAACCCTATAATACCCTAAACCCTGAACCCTAAACCCCAAGGGGGAGGCCAAAGCTCCACTGGCCCCTGCAAAAGTTCAGCGCAACGTGAGGATTTAGGGATATTTAGGGTTTAGGGTTCAGGGTTTACGGTTTCGGGTCTAGGGTTTAGGGTCTGGGGTCTGGGGTTTAGGGTTTAGGGTTTGAGACAAACTACTTTTGAATTGAACTCCCTGGGAGTCCATCAATTCTCTCCTGAAACCAGAGTTTGGCCCGAACAAGCCCTAAATTCTGAACCCCTAAAATCTTAAACGATAAACCCCATTTGGGTTGTTGTGGGGCTCCGCAGTTATTCACCCGTGTCCTCGGAAATCGAACTACCGGCGTTGCTGTCTGCTTCCTGCCGCGAGGCAGGCTTTGAGTGCAGGGTTAAGGGTTTAGGTTTTTAGGGTTTATAACTTAGGGGTGTAGGATTTAGGGGACTGTGGGTTTAAGGGGTCTCGGGGCGTCAGGGTTTTCAACTTCTCTGGGGAAGCCCTCAAGCCCTAAGCCCTAAACCCTAAACCCTGAACCCCAAACCCTATGGGAGCCCCAGGCTTCGGGCTTCAGGGACTCTGGAGATGTCGGGTCCGAAGTCGGCTTCAAGTGCAGGCGCGAGCCTCTCAGAAGCAAGGTTGTTACAAGTACCCAGGGTTTAGGGCTTGGGGCTTGGGGCTTAGGGCTTAGGGCTTAGGGCTTAGGGCTTAGGGTTCAGGGTTTAGGATTCAGGGTTCAGGGTTTAGGGTGTAGGGTTTAGGGTTTAGGGTTTAGGGTTTAGGGTTTAGGGTCCCAAGTCCCAGCAAATCATGGTCCCCTGGTGGTGGCCTTGTTTGCTTCCCCACCGCGAGCACCTGAGACGAGTGGACATTGGGAGCTCATGGCTTAGGGTATTTGCCTGTCGCTTGAAGAAAGGTTGAAAAAGGCAAAGCCGACCCTAAACCCTAAACACTAAACCCCAATCCAGGCTGCGGATTCAGAGCATCGCGAGTGGGAGCCACCAGACACAGCGAAAACCGTAAGACCGAGCTGCGAAACGTAGTAGGGTGTAGGGTCTAGGGTTGGCACAGAATCAGACTTGCAAACTGGAAAGCCAAGCCACAACTAGGATCATATAGGGCTTAGGGCCTCAGCAAAACCTTAAAGGCAGTTGTCAAGCCAATCGTCGTTCTGTGCCTACGAATGTCTAGCGGTTCGGATTTAGGAGGTTTGGCGATTCAGTCCCCTTAAGTCTTTTTCAAAGGCCTGTCAGGTTCCGGGTTCAGGGTTTAGGATGCAGGGTTTGGGGCTTCGGGTTGAGGGTTTGGGGTTTAGAGGTTCAGTACCCGAAAAGTCTGAACTTGCAAACTTGAAAAGCCTGTGAAGCCTTTTCAGCGACCAATGCCAGGAGAGGACGTCAGTGTCACGGCAGTCCACAAGCCCTTTGGCGTGCAATAGTTGCACAGTGAGCAGCCTGTCAGCAAAACTTAGGCAGTCTGTGCAATAAGTTCTGCGCAAAATTGTACACATGCGCAAAGGATACCTCAACCCCTCACGTGCGGAGCCCGCACTCTTTCTTGTCATGACATGTCATGACACGAGCCAGAGTCAACACTTCACCAGGTAATGACACGTACACCTCAGAGAACTGCCATTCCATGACCTTGTAGTGTCTTCGAGTCTCATGAAGCAGCTTGATTCTGGCCATCCTACTCTGCCCCAGCTCTTGCCGCCTCATGCAAGCAAGGTCATTGCGCCAAGGGCGGCAACAAAACTCGAAAGCCAGGCCATGCCGGCCTGAGAAACCTGCAAGGCACGGGGTGTCCCTACAAACCTCCTCCCAGCCCCCCCCCAAAGCGGGTTTGCAGGTATTCTTTGTAGCCCAATAACCATATTATGATAAGGGTACTCTTTCTTTCGGGGTTGGCTACTTTATAAGGGAGCCTGAGCCAAAAAAATAGTATTGGTATCCAACTCGTGCCTCGTTGTTGGCCATGGTGGTCGTGGTGGTGGTCGTTGTCGTCGTGGTCGTGCACAGAGGGTCGTAGGTGGTGCCGGAGTTGTCGTCGTAGATCACGTGGGCCACGCTCAATGGGCAGAGCTGACAGGAGGTCTGAGCTTGGAGGAAGAAAGGGCTGAAGGACCCCACCCCAGACTCCTGCGTGGCCGTCTGTGAGCCGGTGCGGACGTGCAGGGCTGCCATGGCCAGGTCGAGGGCTGCTGGACCGTTGCGAGGGCCCAAGGTGCTGGCGCTGAAGGGAATGGACACGAAGCGAGCTGCCCTGAGGACCTCGAGCTTGCAGAACTCCGCGTCGTTGTACATCCACTTGATCTTGTCGATGGCGCTGTCCCATGAAGCGTCCACCACGACGATGACATCCGGCGCCGCGGCGATGATGTCACTCACGTTGACGCAGGCCCAGTTGCCGGGGCGGTCGGCAAACACGTTGCTGAGGCCGCCCTCCTGCATAAGCAGGTTGGGCGCTCCAGTGCCGCCGCCCACGAAAACCTGCTCCTCCTCACCGGGCTCCGTGTCGCAGCAGTCGATGCAGTCCAGCCACACGCTCTTCAATGGCGACCCGTGCATCCCCGAAGACACCAGGGCCGCAGCTTGATCAAAGTCTGCCTTCATGTCAGTGATCATGGGCTCGACGTCGACGCCGAACACGGATCCCAGCGCCCGCATCTCCTGGTAGACGGTGTCTTCCGTGACCGTGGCCGGGCGCAGGGAGCTGTCTTCACAGCTGTCCTCGAAGACGTAAGTGCCAATGCCAGCTGCGTGCAACTGGGGGCGGCAGGTAGTCCAGTCCTGACCCCAGTCAGAGCCGAACCCGGCACATGGCCCGACAGTCGCATCAGTGAAGATGCCCGACACCCGCCCATTCGACCTGGTGTATTGGGCGCGGAATGCCGAGTTGTATGAAGCCACGAGGAAGTCTGGGTTATAAGACATGAGGTGGGTCTCGTTGGGGTAGCCAGAAGACAGGACTGGGATCTGGGAGTACGCGGCTGCATACCGTGGCCAAATAGAATCATCAAGGTAGGCGGTGCCCACCATGCTGCTTGCAAGTCCCATTCCAAGCAAGAGCTCTGTTGCTCCCTGATTCAAGGTGACGATGCGAGATGGCGCAGTGGCTATGGTGTTTTGCACGCCGCAGTTCGTGATCGTCACCGGATGTGTGGCGTTCGTGGCGGCCACTGCTCCCAGCATGAGCGCGGCGCGAAACACGCGAGTCATCCTCAGGGTCGGCAAACACGAGCGCAGGAGCGACAATGACGGCAAACTTCTTGAGCCCAGCATGGTCGTGGAAGAACAGCAGAGCCCCTCTGCTGCGAGCTCATCAGGGAGGGGCCCCCGATTGTCTTAAAGCAGGGTTAGTGCCGATTGACCGAAATTTAATCCATACTTCGGGGGTGTCCGGGCATCTAAAGCACTCTTGTTCCGCAACAGGAGCCTACCTTGGGGAACTGCCCAAAGCCCTAAAGCCGTAAAGCCCTAAACACCAAACCCCATAAAACCAAACCCTAAACGCCAACCTCTGCCCCCATCCCCCCCCCCCCCCCCCCCCCGAAACCCTAAACCCTAAATCCTAAACCCAAACCCTAAACCCTAAACCCGAAACCCTAAACCCGAAACCCGAAACCCTAAACCGGTCTGGCCTTTTTCCGGCTCGTTGGCAAGCTCCACTTCGGGGCCATGGGGGATGCCAGTCTTGTCCTTGCCTGACAAGGGGGGACCACAAGGCTTCAGGATTTTGGATTTGGGGTGTAGGGTGTAGGGTTTAGGGGTTTAGGGGTTTGGGGGTTTAGGGGTTTAGGGGTTCAGGGGTTCAGGGGTTTTCAGGGGTTTTCAGGGGTTTAGGGGTTTAGGGGTGTAGGGGTTTAGAGGTTTAGGGGTTAGGGGTTTAGGGGTTTAGGGGTTTAGGGGTTTGGGGGTTTGGGGGGTTAGGGGTTTAGTTTACTTGTTTAGAGGTTAGGGGCTTGGGGGTCTTGGGGGTTGAGGGGCTTAGGGGCTTGGGCGGATGGGGTTTGGGGGCTGCTTACGAAGGCTTTGGCGTTCTTACAACTTTACGGCGGCCCTTGGACTGCATTTCAAGGTTTTGGAAGTTCTCGGAAGGTGATGGAGCTAAACCCTACAACCCCCTTGTGCTCGAGAAAACAGGTTCCAAAGCCCTGCCCCCTAAACTGTAGGATTTGCTGTTTTTTTGCTTTCAGGAAGCCAAGCAATAGATCATCATCCCGAAACGCTAATTGTATATACACGGCTTTCTTTCTGGGGCTCCTTAAGCTAATCCGACTGAGCCCTAAAGACCCTAAACCCTAACTAAACCAAACCCTGAACCCCAAAGCGCAGGCCCAGGGGCAGTCAGGCAGATCCTCCACGTTCTCGCCAGCCTCCTGCGAGGATGTGAGCGGGCGAGGCCCTCAATTCCTAAACCCTAAACCCTAAACCCCTGTGTCTTACTTGGAGGTCCATGGATACTTGTAACCCTACTTAAAAGTCTACTTATCACCTACTCAGGGGACTTAGGGGGCTTATGAGTGCAGTTATACTTGGGGTTATAGGGACCCATGAACTTCCAGTTTAGGGATTATAGGGTTCTAAAGCGGCATAAGGGATCTTGGGCTTCGGTTTCCACAGTGCAGGGCATCGGGCTTGCGTGACAGCCCAGGAAAGCATCGCCAACAGCAAAGACAGCACCAAAAAACCCTAACCCTTAAGCTCCCTAAACCCTAAACCCTAAAATCCGCAGCGAGCGAAGCCCCTAAAAACCATCAAAGGCCCCTAAACCCTGAACCCTGAGCCCTAAACCCGAAACTGGTTTAGGGCAATTCAGACTTGCTACGATGAAGCACTGCCCCTAAACCCTAAACCCTAACCCTAAACCCTCAACCCCAAACTCTACACCGCCAACCCAACCCTAAACCCCTAAACCCTAAACCCTAAACCTTAAACCCTAAAACCTAAACCCTAAACCCTAAACCCTAAACCCTAAACCCGCTGAAGCTGAAAAAGCCCCTATCAGGTCCGGGGCCGGCCTCTGAGTTGCCGATTGCACGCGCATCCCCGCGAGAAGTGAAAATGCCCATCAGCAATCTCACCTCGAGATGCAGGGTTTGGGGTTTGGGGTTAAGGGTTTAGGGATTGAGGCTTGGGGTTTAGGGTTTAGGGTTTAGGGGTTTAGGGTTTAGGGTTTAGGGTTTAGGGTTTAGGGGTTTAGGGTTTAGGGTTTAGGGTTTAGGGTTTAGGGTTTAGGGTTTAGGGTTTAGGGTTTAGGGTTTAGGGTTTAGGGTTTAGGGTTTAGGGTTTAGGGTTTAGGGTTTAGGGCTTAGGGTTCGGGTTTCGAGCTTCGGGGCTTGCGGCTGGAATGAAGGCCCTGCGATGGATGGTAGCCATGGCTACGTGATACCCCACTCCTTCACTGACTACTAGTCAGGCTCGAGGGTTGTGGGCTTGAGGTTGGGTTAGAGGATTTGGGGGTTTGGCCTTTGGGTTCAGGGGTTTCAGGTTTAGGGGTTTAAGGTTTAGGGCTGGGTGGACGTTGAGGGTTTGGCATGGAGCCGTTCCAGGTTCAGGGTTGTTGTTCAGTGTCAGGGACTGACCTCAAAGGCTTGGGGTTAGGGACCCCCGCTGAGGGAAAAAAAACCTGCACCGACAGCCGAACGCCCAGAACCCGTAAAGCCGGTAAAGGCCTTAAAGACCTGAAGGCCCTGAAAAAAAACCCAAAGACCTTCTGAAAGTCCTAAAACCCTTTAAAGACCCTTAACCCTGAAACCCTGGAACCCTGAAACCCTGAAACCCTGAAACCCTGAAACCCTGAAACCCTGAAACCCTGAAACCCTGAAACCCTAAAGCTCTAAAGCTCTAAAGCCCTAAAGCCCTAAAGCCCTAAAAGCCTAAACCCCTAAACCCTAAAGCCCTGAAGCCCTAAGCCATAACCCCTAAGCCCTAAAGCCCTAAACCCTAAACCCTAAAACCCTAAAGCCCGAAAACCCTCAACCCTAAACCCAAAACCCCAAACCCTGAAAACCCCTAAAAACCCCAAAACCCTAAGGCTCTCAAGCCCTAAACCCCAAACCCCAAACCCTAAAACCCCAAAACACCAAAACACCAAAACACTAAAACCCTAAAACCCTAAAGCCCTCAAACCCTGAACCTAAAACCCCAAAGCCCTAAAACCCCAAAACCCCAAAACCCCAAAACCCTAAAACCCCAACTGGGCGCCCAACAGCTTGCGCCATGATGCAGGCAACGACTTGCCTTGGACCCGAACCAAAGGTTTGGTTTAGGATTTTAGGGTTTGGGGTTTAGGGTTTAGGGTTTAGGGCTTAGGGCTTAGGGTTTAGGGATTAGGGTTTAGGGGTTAGGGGTTAGGGTTTAGGGTTTAGGGCTCCGGGCTTTGTGCTTAGGGTTTAGGGCTTAGGGTTTAGCCTATCGAGAAAGTGCACAATCGCCGCCCAGAACAGTACTTGTATAACCCATGCAAAGAAGCCATCTGACAGCATGCTGGGTAGACGTACGTGAGTCCTTACATTCGGCTGCTCTTTCTTCGTACCGTCCCGTTGAGCTTTCAGGCTCTTCTATCTGAAGCGATGCTTGGTCAAGAGCGTGCAGTAGGTCCATGTATGGGCTGTCCGAGATGGTGTGCTTTATTGTTCTTTTGCCTAGCCAGCATTGACCCTAAACCCTAAGCCCGGCCCTGAAGCCCTAAACCCTAAACCCGAAACCATGAACCCTAAACCCGAAACCCTAAACCCTCAACCCTCAACCCGAAACCCAAAGGCTTTGAGAGTGGCTACGGAGTCCAACCAAAAAGGGCGGACGCTCAACGCTTCTCCACTGATCCAGGTTCATGCATTAGGGCTTTAAACTTAGGGTTTAGGGTTTAGGGTTTAGGGTTTAGGGTTTAGAGTTTAGGGCTTTAAATTAGGGTTTAGGGTTAAGGGTTAAGGGTTTAGGGTCTAGGGTTTAGGGCTGTGAAAAACACGTGAATGCCAAGAAAACCGTCAGAAGCAGGGCAAAGCCTGAAGGCTTAAGAAGCCACCGAGCCCCAAGACCGAGTGCCACACTATCTTCACTGCGCTTGCGGCAGGGGAAATACCGGTATTCGACGTGAAACTCGGAATCTGATGTGATCAGACTCCCTCTCGAAATCTTCAGGAGGATGTAAGAACATATCTGACATGCACCTAGATGCTGCTAACCTGGATAGCAAATCTGACACTCGTTGCAAGTTAGCAATGCAGTGCATACATGTGAATGCATTGGAGCTGAGATGATGCCAAAAGCTCGATATGAGAACTCTTGATGTTGTGACACTTTAAGGTTTGAGCCAGGTCGGCAACACATTTCTTCCCAAGTGGCTGGAGCAAGCGGACCCGCTGTCTCTACGATGACTCGCAGCGCATCTTGGTCGTGTCGGGGAAACATCACTACCATGGCACCGAGCAAAACCTGGAAAGGTCCTCAACCCTGCAATAGCCCTAACCCTCAACAACCCCAAACCCTGTAACAGGGCAAACACTGAAACACAACCCAGCCCAAAAAAAACCTAAGCCCCAGCACCGGCATTTGCCAGGTGACCCGCTGCTGTCATGTCACTTGGAGCATTGACACAACTGTGGGCACGGGCAGGGCTTCTTTGCCGAAGCGAGAAACGGAGGTCCAGTGGCGCAGCGCAACCCGCTGGAATTGCAAGACAATCTGGATATGTCTAGCGCTCCAGATGCGCAACTATACAGGCTCGTAACGGCCGGCCGCTGCTGTCAAAGTAAAGTGTTCCACGGCAGGCACGCGGCCGGCCAGCAAGCTCCATGCCATGCTGGGACTAGAAGAAACTGGAAAAGCGTAGGTCCAGTGGCGCCATGCAACCCGCTGGAAGTGTGAGACAGTCTGGATACGTTTTAGATGCTGCCGTTTACGGGAGCGCTGAGCAACGCCCTCAGTGGTCAAGCCACATCGTGACATTGGCACAGCACACTCGAGCAGCTCAAGTCTCTCAGGGATTCCGATGACAAATCGGGCACGGTGATGTAGTCATTTTCATCTTCAGCTCCTTTCCTTGCTCAATGATGTTGTGTTGACTGAGAATGCGTTTGAGCCTAGACTCGAAACGGTGATCGTCTTTCTTCGACCAGTGGTCAAGAAGGAGTTCGCCTTGGCAAGCAGCCATCTCGCTCTTCCAGCACAAGGCACTTGATGTTAATTAGGTGGTATGACAGTAGAGGAAGCATCTTCCCGAAAGCCTGTCTGAGGTTGCGATATCGTTTCGCGCTGTAAATTACCCGAGCGATGCCGGACCACATCGCGGAAGAGGTAACTGGGAAAAAAGCAGTTGACAGGGGTGGGAGGGCAACGGGGAGGGAGCGATTTTGGATGAGAAATGCCGACAATACGAGGGTGCGAAATGGCGCGATACTGAGTCGACGGGGAGAGAAGGAAGACGGTGCACTTTGCATTAGCTGAAGATCCTCCAGACAGCTCTTCACACCTAGAGCAGTTGTATAGCCACCTACCTCCTCATGCTTGACCTCCCCAGACAGAGTCTGCTAGACCAAGGCATAGCATTGGTTCAACCCGTCTGGAAATGGACTGCTCGCGCCAACTTAGCATCCTCTGCCAGATAGGTTGCTGCACTCAGTGACTATTTGTCACTGCTCCATGTCCTGCATGCGACTCGAATTCACTGTTGCTGTAGATGTTGCAGCATTTGCAAAAGCTTCAGGCAGCGGAATAAACACTTGCAACAACTGACGGAGATGAAATCTTCCAGCGTGAGCAGAGTTGGCTGCAGTTGCTGCTTGCACATAGCAAAGGTGTGAGGATTAGCGGAGCACCAAGCCAGGAGCTGGGCCTCATATGCAGTGATAAACCTGGGGGAAGGGTTGTTTGTGGCCTGGGTGTAGGACTGTTTAGATGGAAGTGCAAAAGCGTGTCATCCAGAGGATCGCACTTTGGTGGAGGCGTCGCGATACTTGAGCGTTTATGCGGTAGGATCTAACAGGGCCTGAAGCAGATCCAGCCTCCCAATCTCCAGCCCCACATTCCCACGGCTGTGCTATTGACAACGTCTTGTTGCGCTGCACAGTGGACCACGTTCAAGTAGCCATTGGTTTCGTGCGCAACCTTATTTGTACCTGTCGTCCTGCTCTGGGTCATGAGGCGGAGACTTTCTCAGAAGCAAGCAGTCTACAATGAACAGGAAACAAACAACAGTCGTGGGCAACAAGCAATGACCCCAGCCCAACGCGCTTTGCAAAAGGACCTGGTAACTGAGGCCCCCCACACTTGCAGCGATACTCATCGAAGAACTTCCGCTTCACTTCGACATCTGCGAAATCCATTTTGGTCTTGCTGCGGTTGAGGTCCGCACAGAACTCAGCCACCCTGGTGTCAAGTGCCCATCTTTCCTTGTCGCCCAAGGTCCGGTGCTTTCTGTTTCGCGCTCTGTGTTCATATCCTGGTCCCGGTCCTGGTGTCGCACTGTCAGGTGGCGGTGGCATGCAAATCGACGTGTGCGTTTGACAGGGCCAGCCTGAAGTTTCAGCGCCCTCGCACTGCCCCTGCGAAGTCGCATCTAGCACAGCTGGAGCTTCTACATCCGCCGAGGCCTCGGGCCGGAGGTGTATGGGTTGTCAGAACAGGGGTTCGCCAGGACCAGAGGCAGTTGAAGCCCCTCCCAGCAGGCCCCCCCCCACCCGGCCCCCCTCTGCCCCTACCCCCCGCTACCCTCCCCCCCTCCTTCCCCCCCCCCCACCCACACCCTTTTGAAGCCCTCCCCCCTCCCCTTCCCCCCTTCCCCCCACACCCCCTACGATCAATCCAAGCCGAACCGTCTCTTGAACCCTAAACCCAAAAAAAACCTAAACCCCAAAGCGTGAACCTTGAGCCCTAAGCCCTCAATCCTAAACTAACCCTCAACCCTAAACCCCAAACCATAAACCATAAACCCGGAACCCTAAACCCTAAACCCAACCCTTATTGCTTGGGGTGCAGCGACTTGGGCGCTGCGGAATCACCATGCTCACGCGGCTGCGCTGGGCCGGGCCGAGGCGGGTGGCGTAGCGTTAAAATTAAACTCGCCTCGGCCTCCGGCCGACAGGCGTCGGAAACAAGCAGACCAAGAGATGGTCTCCGTCCACCTTCCCCACCAAACACTGCCAAACACTCCCCTTTCCCGAGCGAGGAAGGCCTCATGGGGTTCCAGGGTGGCGACTGCCGACGTGGCGTGCAAGCGTTTGCAATTAACACTGCCACTACCACAGCTGGTACTCGGAAGACTGCGGAGGAAGCAACCGGGAGATTTTTCGATTGCTCAGACATGTGGATTTCGACCTTGAGGAGTTGTAAAAGACTCCAATCAGTCAGGGTCTTGCAGGGTCCATGGTTAAAGGGGTGCGGATTTCATCCCGACCCCCTGGTGCCCCTGGCTGAGTTCTTTGGCTGCCTCTATTTCGACGAGCGAAGCTGAGCACACTAACCCCTAAATCCCTAAACCCGAGACCCTAAACCCAAACCAGGGGTTTCATCCTGGCTTGCCTTCGTCCTGGCGACTTTCCTGTGCTCCCCGGGTCTGCCGACTGGCACTTCCGACATGTGGACTTCCTGTATTGTGGTGCAAGATGGTTGCAAGGGGCGAAAAGGATGCCTTGGACGGTGCCTCGAAAGCGTTGCGAAGCGTCTTTATCCCCGGACTGCATTGGGTTGTTGGACTCATGCTGCTGGATGACTAGCGGGTGCTTTCAAGCAGGAGGCAAGGTCGTCAAAAGACCCTGCAGCTTCGCTCTCGGCACGTTTTATCTGTTTTGCTTCCCGGAAGATACGCTCGGCTCAACATACAACACTCATCACGGCGTGTCGTCGTCGCCATCCTCGAGACTCAAAACTCTCATTTTTTTTGACTGGACTGAACAACACGTCACTCACTTGCGAACAGCTCGCTTGCGACGATCTTTTCAGCTCGGTTGCGCGATTTCTGCCTCTTATACTTTGCGCTGTTGGCTTTCGGCTTGGGGCTTTCAAGTTTAGCTGTACAGTCGGTTTGAATGTAGTGTACACTCCTACCCAAACGACCCATCCATGGCTACCGGAAAATTCACAGCTTAGGGGTTTGGACAGTTTTGGGGTTCGGGCTTGGGGTGTTTGCGGGTCATTGCCTGGAATAGGCTGCATGCTAGCTACTCAGTACATGGGGCCGACAGCCATTCATGGTGTCCTGGCCTCCGGCAACACCTTATGAGGTACCTTGTATCCCTATGTATTCCCTTTCAGGGATTTTCACAGGTTGCCTAACCTAACTCCCCCATTCCCAACTAAGAGCCAGTAGGTTGGGCAATCAGCTTCCAGTCCAAAATGCTGGTAGACTTCAGAACTGACACAGCGGGCACAGCAGGCCTTCCGGACATCCCCTGCCAGGCGAAGTGGACTGCTGTCATTCCGGTTCGAGTTGCCATCTTGCTGCACCTTGCGCCGAGCAGTGCTTCCCACGGTTTGCAGCCGCTGCCAACTCGCACAACACACGGCGCGACTGTCGCCATGACCACAACAGCATGAGATGCGTTGAACTAAAAGGATTGCCCAGCAACTTCAAGGAGGTGAGACGACTGGCCAGGCTCCCAGAGATCGCCGCACTCGGAACAATCGTCATCACGCACGTCAGCCCAGCGCTTGCGGCACTGTCCTGATCCAGAACATGACAGCCCCGCAAACAAGCAGTGATCAGAAGCTGTTGCAGATTGCTCCTGAGCGCGCAGATTTTGGCGTCGGCTCCATATGCTGCCGCGCCAGCTCGGCAAAACAAAGCGCAGGCAGTGCAAAACCCCAGCTTGGGCCAAAAGGCCAAAAGGTCTACGATCCTAAGGTGCCTCTCACCACGTGCTACCTTCTGGCTCAACCTCAGGCCCTGACATCTTTACACGACATCCAAGACATGAACAAGCTGCAGCCCGGTGATCGATAGTATGATGTAGTATGGCTTTTGCATATTGTGGTCTTTGGCGCCAGTGCTAGGTCGAGTCAACAGCTGTGCTGGAAAATGCAAAATACAAGGGCTCCTGCGAAAGAGGGCTTGTGCGGCTTCACACGTGCTACTAAGGTGCCTCCTTCATCATGCCTTGGCTTTACATCTGTTGTTTGCCTAATCTGCGTTATTCACTGGAGTTGTGGCTGTACTGCTGAATGAAAACTTGGCCTGCCGCAGGAATGTAGACAACTGCCTTGATTCCCTGCAGGCTCGGGTGCACGAGTCTGATCAAAGAAACGGGCTGGTGATGGCTGGTGTAGGGTTTAGGGTTTAGGGTTTAGGGTTTAGGGTTTAGGGTTTAGGGTTTAGGGTTTAGGGTTTAGGGTTTAGGGTTCAGGGTTCAGGGTTCAGGGTTTAGGGTTTAGGGTTTAGGGTTTAGGGTTTAGGGTTTAGGTGTTAGGGTTAGGGTTTAGGGTTTAGGGTTTAGGGTTTAGGGTTTAGGGTTTAGGGTTTAGGGTTTAGGGTTTAGGGTTTAGGGTTTACCTGGCTTGAGGAACGTTCTTGTCAACGATTGGTCGTGTTAGCGCGCCCGCCCCCTTTCGCCCCCCTAAGCCTGCCTGGAAAGCCATTGCAATGTTATTCAAAAGCAAAAGAAAAACCGGTCAAAACCCGCACAAAACCCGCACAAAACCCGGACACAAACCCTGTACAATTTTCTTACAGAAATTGCATAGGGGCTTGGGTCCCAGTAACGTTTTGAACGAAAAGTTTTGAACGAAAGTGTTGCGCCCCCCCCCCCCCCCCCCGAGCTGGCCAGAGGCCCCTGGTCCTTGGGCACGCTGCGGCAAGGGGTCCGGGTTCTGGAAAACCCCCTCAAACCTTTTCTTGGCTATGGTTGACAGAAAGTTTTTTTTTGCCTTCCCGAACCCATTGACCCCACCCCCACTTCTCCCCACAAGCCCTCTCCACCCCCCCCCCCAACCCTCCCCCCCTCCCCCTCTCCCCACCTCCCCCCCACCGAAACGTTTTTTGTTTTGGAACTATGTTTTTCATTTTTGGCAGGGGGAGGGGGGGGGGGCCTCCAACACGGGGGAGGAGGGGCCAATTTGAAGCTAGTTTTGGGGCCGGGCTTATTTGAGGGCATTTCAATGCTTATTTTGGGGCTTATTTTTGGTGCCGGTCTGCTGGGACGGGTCTGGGACCTGTTTTGGGACCTCTCCCTATTTCGGGGCCTCCCGAGGCTATTTGGGGGCCTCCCGAACTGTCTTCTGGGGCTATTTGGGGTTTTGTTGACGGTCCCCTTTGTCGCTTGTCCAATTTTACTTCCAATGCAACGTGCAGATTATGGTTTACATTGCATCCGCTCCAAGTCTGTTGTTGAGGAGTGACATTGTTACTGCAATCTGATGTGGGGTTGCCAAAGAGCGTATGCCGGAGGGCACTGCTTGCCGATCATATGTCTGTGTTCAGTCGACAGAATTTGCGAGGTAAACCATCGCCAAAATCTCATGCACAGAACGTTTCCTGCTCGAACAAGCTGAGCTCGGGCTCAACGCATGGTATCTGCCCAGGCGGACGAAGATTTCGTAGGAAAGATCACCAACATTTGGATGCTGACCAGCATGCTCTGTTGTTGAACTCTCACAAGCGTGGTCTGCTGGGTGATTGACGCACACAGCGCAAGGATGGGCCAGTTCTTCTGGCAATACCCAAACCACAACTGTTGTGTAGTTGCACCTGAAACCGACAACCGTCCACCTTTCAAGGCTTTTTCCCTTGGCGACGTGCTCCAGATGCGCGACTATACAGGCTCGTAACGGCCGGCCGCTGCTGCCAAAGTGTTCCACGGCAGGCACGCGGCTGGCCAGCAAGCTCCATGCCATGCTGGGACTAGAAGAAACTGGAAAAGCGTAGGTCCAGTGGCGCCATGCAACCCGCTGGAAGTGTGAGACAGTCTGGATACGTTTTGGATGCTGCCGTTTACGGGAGCGCCGGAGCAACGCCCTCAGTGGTCAAGCCACATCGTGACATTGGCACAGCACACTCGAGCAGCTCAAGTCTCTCAGGGATTCCGATGACATCACGATCATCTTCTTTGGAGCAAAGAAGTAACTAGCTTCCGAATTCACCAAACAAAACTGATCAAACCTGTACATCAAGCCTGTACATAACTAATTATGCGTCCTGGTGGACGGGCATCCGCGCTTCGGAGTGTGCAGAACTCAGCACAGTTTGGGGTCAAGCTTACCATACTGCATGCACATCACCTAATCTTCTTCTTTCGCTTAAGAACCCTGTGTGTAGGGGATATGCACATCTGCTTGCACGGAGGCCAAGAGCCCACATGTGGCGAAAACACGAGGCACATCAAGGAACATGTTAAAGCCTGTCGCCTGCCAGTGTTCCTACTCACCAGACTGTACACGTGTGTCGCAGGGACAGAACCCTTTGTGACAAGCGCATGTGCCATACCGAATCCCCCGAGCCACCGCGCAGTCACGTCTGCGTTCTGCATCCGGAGTACAGAGCCAGTCTTCTCTGCTGAAAAGAAGGCTAACTTCCAGCACTTGCCTGAGTATGCCGGGCAAGCATGCAACGAGCCAATGTCGCTCCCCCTGTCCGTAGACTGTGCGCAAGGCAATGAACTAGGTGAATCAAAGCGACTCGGCGAGATGTGCCCCTCAACGTGTCTGAGGCTTGCCTCGTCTCTCGCATGAGGCAAGTCCAAGCTTTTGCGAAACAAGCACAAAGCAACAAAGCCAACTCTCAAAAGACATCGGATGGGGATTTCAGAAAATAGGGGTACCCCTTATATACCCCAAAATACCCTATAGTCCATTCAAAGAGCCCCCCAAAAAGGGTAGCCCTATTTCGGAAACCCCCAGAGAAGTTCACCGAGCCGCAGTTTGCCGTGTGACCCGCCGCCGGGGAGGGCCACTCCTCTGGTGCAAAGAAAGGCGTCTGCACCGATGGCCAACCTCGAAAACAGACATTCCTCACACCCTAATCCCTAAACCCTAAACCCCAAACCCCAAACCCTAAACCCCTCACTCTTTCGCAATTTAGACGGTTGTCGCCCGCGCTTGTGTTCGTGGCCCTTTCAGGCCTAGCGTGAACACGCCGAAAGCTGAGCAAACCGCATAGTGCTCGATGGCCATTTCGCTTGTGAAGTGTGTCCCCAAATTGAGAGTGGATTGGCTTTCTCGCCATTGGTCGGTTCGACGGTTGCAGCATACTTCAGAAGATGCTGACGAGTTTGGGGACTTGCTAAGCAAAGTCCTTAGTCCTTTAGTCGAGACTGCACAGCAGGGATTTCTACTTGAATTCCAACCGCAAACGAGATCATGACTATGCAGTATGGCACCTCTGCACTATATTAGTCATGGTCACTTGTTGTCGTCGACTGGTTTGGTAGCTCGTCTTCAAAAGCCTAACCGCATACGATAAGTTTCGAGGAGGACTGCGACAGCCAAGAACTCAATATCAAAGAAATTCGGGACAAGGCTTCCCAACTCCTTGGCAACCAGTCCAGAGCATCATCCCTAGTTGCATCGGGCCGATGCAGGTCTTGTCAAATTCACTCATGTTTGGACCCACTACAACCATCCCTAGACACCACGCGACACTTGACGTCGCCTATGTGAAGTGACAGATGTTTCAGTAGCAAAAGCAGGCAGCAGAGGCAATTGGCGTGCAGGGTGTTCACCTTTTGCGTGTTTGGAGACATTGGTTTGACCTCCTTACTGCAAGGCACAACGATCCCAGATAGATCAGATAGCAGCCAAGTCACGCCAGGCTGCACTGGGATGCACCTTCCTGCTGGCGCGAAAGAGGAGCGGTGCTGGTGGCAACCTGGCAGGCCGCGCATCTTCTTCAATAGATGCCCAACCCGCGCCTCCGAATTGTCCATGACCGCTGCTGCCAGGACTTCAATCTTGTGCGCCAACATGCGTGCTTCTTGCCGATCATACTGACTGGCCCTATATAGGGCCCTTGCGCAGAGTCCTTTGCTCAGTTGCAGCACATTTAAAAGTTGCCACTTCGGAACGCACAGAGGTCAGCACGATTTTGGGACGCAACGGCCTACGTGTGGAGACACATCGAAATTGCAGTCGCTGCACCGTGGCACATTCACAAGGCTAACTTGCGGCAACGCTTGACGGCTTATATTTCAGGGTTAAGGGTTTAAGCCTCCATGCCGTACAGAAACCGCCCAACACTCTAAGTGATCCAACAAATTTGGGGGTCACACGCGGCTTCTGTTCTCAGCGGTGAGGTGGGATGTTGGATTTCCACGCATCGGGATGCCACTAGTGCGCATTGATCAAGTGCGTTTTGACACAAGCCCCTCCAAGCACAGACCAAGGGTGCATCACTGACGGAGAAGCCACGAGCCCACTCAGTCCAGTTTCTTTGAAAATGGTTTCTTCTGATTAACTTTCTGGAAATCTCTGTAAGTATATGAAGGCGAGAGAGAGAGAGAGAGAACAAAAAAAAAGAAAGAAGGAAAGAAATAAGGAAAAAAACAAACGAGAATGAATGAAAGATTGCTTAACATCAATTCGTATTGGTCCCCAGCCGAAAATCGTTTGCAATAAGCAGACCAAGAACAGGTTTCCTTCCCCGCTTCCCGATCCCCCCCTGATCCCCTTGACAGAGATCCGATCAGTGCACCCACCAGTCAGGCAATCACAACACTCAATGAGCAGTCCTGGCTTGAGCACTTGAGCCTTGAACCAAACAGTACCATCGAAGCGACGACTTCTGGACGTCCTGGGGCTCTCGTCATCCTACTCAAGCTTCACTTCCCAACAACATCCTACCCAAGCTGCATTCAGCGCTCTCGGGCGTCTTTTCCTCGAACTGCGGTCTCTTTCCATGTCTGCAGACCGACTGTGTGGACTGGAAACTCCGAAGTGCACCTCTTGGACCGCCGACGTGCACGTCCCGTGGCTTGGGCCGGCCCAGCTGCCGAGGACTCTCGCGCAAACATCTGCAACTAAAAATGCTAACCTTTGATAACCGCCAGCAAGCAACAACCGTTGTTCCTTGACAATTTTCCTCTTTGACAGCAAGTATCACAAAATCGTAGAAACGCTGAGGGTAAATTTCAAACATATACCATTTCCAGGTTCAAAGATTCAAGAGCTTCCAACAATTCAGGTACGCCTAGTGCGCTGTACCTAGTGCGCTATTGTTCTGTGCCCTTCACCGCAACATGTGGGTCGAACGACTTGCAAAGGATGTGCTCGCCATCGGTCCATTATGAGTCAAGCCGCCTTTGCCACCTAGCTCGCTATATGCATTGAGCATGAAGTTGCACGGAATCTGCAAGGTGCCGATGTCTTCCCGCTGGCCCCAAATAGGCCCGTCACGAAACCTGAGCAACATGTTCAAGCGTGATGTTCAAGCGGGTTGTGCTTGAGAGCTCACATCAGTCGGACGGCCGGTTGCCCAACCAGGTCCACTTGCAGCTTCAGGATGCTTGTAACACCAAGTTATAACAGTACTTATAAGCCCCCTAAGTCCCCTAAGTCCTCTAAGTAGGTTACAACTGGGGTTATAAGTACCCATGAGCCTGCAAGCAGGGCTTCTTCGACTCCATTTCACAAGACTGTTTGGAAACCACCAGGACAGTGCTGGCCAAGGAGCTGGTGCTGCTTGCGGAGCCCTCCAACCGGCTCCCAGGCCAGAGCAAATCTGAGAGCCACGCCCTTTTCCACGGACATGAACGTAGTTATTGGAAACTCGCTCTTTTGCTTGGCAAAGTTCTCCTCCTTGCAAACCACATTCACCATCTCCCGCATGGAGATATCTGGGCAGATCGGGATATACACGGGGAGTATCCGCGCGAGACAGCCCGCACATTGCTCAAGCTCCGGCCGCCGACCGGAATCAACACTTCCAATGACGAATCCTTGATCCTCATCGTTGACGTTGGCCAATGCCATAATGCAAAGCAGCAACATCTGTGGCGTCGCACGCCCTGGCATGGACTGCTGCTCACATGGGGAGTAAAAAATGCGCGAAAGTCGGGCGCGAGAAGTGAAGGGGCTTGACTCAAACGCCTGAGCCTTTTGGGAAGTTCAGGTTCTGTGAAGTTTCACGTTTAGGGAGCGGGGGCCTTTCTTCGAGTTCTTTGTCACCTTTCACAGCATGGTGCAGGTCCAGCATGTCACATCTGTCTGACGGTGTGCCGTGCTCTACACAAACTCGCGGCGATCTTGCCACATGTTCAAGAATCCGTCGATGCTATTGCTGCACTCATGTGTGACACATATAACGTCGAAAGGATCTTGCTGGAACATCGATGCCTGAAGACTTGGCCTAGACTCTAAGCTTCAGCCTCCAAACTCAACCGCTGCCTTCGGGGGCGAGCGCTGAGTGAAGCCGTCCGCGTGGGTAAAGCAGCATGGCAAAGCATCGGTGTCCGAAGGACACCGGATTTCCTAGAGGCTTCCCTGCGGCGCCGCCTCGGGCCCTTGCCCACCGATTCCAAAGACCCTATGCCGTGGACCCCTTCTCGTCCCACCCCCGCACATAAACGAACGTTTACCTTTTGAGTGCGGAAGCCGGGCCCCCGCCGCATCAGAGGCATCGTTGGGATGACTGGGCCTTCACCAGCAGCGTTTGCCTTTGCCTATGGGCCTTTTCGAGGCCATTGCGTCAATGCACATTGCGGTCATGGCGGCGATGGGGCTAGGACTCAGAGATTATGGCTTCGAAGGGTGTGTCTAAGGTTGGGCTTTTCGGCTGTGAGGTGCGACAGCACCAAAAGAACCGACAGCACCGACAGCACCGGCAGAACCGGCAGCAGCAGCAGCAGCAGCAGCAGCAGCAGCAGCAGCAGCAGTAGAAGCAACAGCAACGGCTCAGCAAGCAGCCGCGGCTGTGTTAAATCAGGGATCGAGACGACAACAACATTACAGAAACAGAACTGCAACAGCACTGTCGAGGTCCCAACATGATGATCCAGGAAAGCCATCCGGGAAGCACAAGTGTAGCATCTGCGCGTCATAACTCCTCAAATCATGTGCAAGAAGTTTTGATTGGCTTCACGCCACACATGCATCACGATACTTCTCCCATCACCCACCGCAACGTCTCCAAACCAAGATTTGACAATCCTGCCTATGTCCAGTCCACGGACCCCAGGAGGATGGACCAGAGCGAGCCAAATACTCTTGCCTGGCAAGAGGATCTAGGAAGCAACTTACCCTGGATGCTGCGAACTATTCTTTTCCTGCTTGCCTTAAGGACCCGCGGCTCGTGTCCGGGGGAACAGAAGCTGGGGCGGCTGCCAAGCTGACTGTAGTCGACGCCCGTCACACGAGTTCATGAGGGCATGTTCGGCCTTCACGACATCGCAGAATTGTGGGACCTGGCTCCGAGCATATAAGAGGATAACAGCTGAACATGCTGGCAGCTCCCAGCCCAAGTACAGGAAGTGTTTCTTCGTGAGTTATTTACAGGGAATCGAGAGCATGTCATACCTCGCCTCATCTTCAGGTCCGTGCGCAGAGCCAGTCGTCAGGCTAGAGGTGAGCTGCTTATCCAGCAGCATCAGGGTAAAGCCATCTGATGCCACATGCGCAGCGCGCATGACAAACAACATCTTTTCTTCGTTGGTGTCATCCTCCATCTCGATAATAAGAATACGTAGGGCTGACTGCTGCGATAGACCGAATGGCTCCCTGGCAAACACTTCTGCCATGACTTTGGCCTCACACTTGTCCTTCACTCTCACGAAACAGAGAAGTTCTCTTTCCAGTTCTTTCACCACGTGCTGGGTGGGTGGCCAAAGTGATTGTGTCATGGAGCGCAAATCGTAGAATGTACGAAAAATTGAATGTCTTTGAATCAGCTGCTGCACGGCATTTGATATGCTGTGTCGTGAGAACCACATTTTGCTCCACCTGGAAACCGCCGTCGGGAAGGCAGCCTGTCCATCAGTAAACACATAAGTCTGCAGGAAAAACTTCTGCATCAATGATAGACCATATGTTGCCGGTTCCTCTGCTCCACCTCGGCTGGACGAGAAAACGTATCCGGTGCGTCTTGGACTGCACCTTGCAGTCGCTTCAAGTAGGCCGGGGCACATAGATGCATTCGAGCACTGCAGGCTAGCACGCTAGACTAGAATAGAAGGAAGTCAAAGAGCAAGCATCGGTGATCTCCTGTTGCTGTCAAACCATCTGCAGCTTTACTACGTTGACGCCTGAGCCTGTTTCCCGCCATCCGTCGACTTTGGAATGGCAAGGCAACCAGGAACATCTGATCATGCACTACAAGATGCTCCCTCCCGCGGAGAAGATTGGATAAAGGATGCAAGCGAGTCAACGCGGGAAACCTTCGTGGCCAGAAATTAAGTACCCTGTTTGTGGCCTTAACTTGCAGTGAACCACATTGTCCAGGTCCGGTCACTTCCACCAAAGCTGTATGTCTTGGCTTCTACATTCTTTTACCGCTTGCTGGCTTGTGAGAGACAAACACATGTTCAGAAAAGGTGTGAGGTACGGATGACCTGGGACTACAAAAGAGCCATTACGAAGAACTTGATCGACAACACATGAACTCAGCAAAGCTGGCGAACAAAGCAACTTTCGCAAGCAATCGAAAGCAAGTTCGGCAGAAAATGCCAGGCACCACATGCAAACTTCCGTGACATCTGCAGCCCACCGGCACTAAGAACACCTGATGATTTTCAGCTCCTAGCGACGCACTCGAACCGCTTCGTGCAGAAGCCAAGAGCTGGCAATAGCAGAAGACCTCATCATCGACCTTGCCGAACCCGTGGAAAGGCCTGCCCTTACACGGGCATGCAGCTGCCTCAGATTTCTGACCAAGGCTGCGAGTCTGTCCGAGAGCAAGCTCACATCCAGAGCCTCTGCGAAGGCAGTTCGTCTCTTTTGTCCCATCAGGTAGAACTCCCCAACCCTTTCCAGACCGCCCGCCTCAGGGTCAATTTTTGGGAACAATGCTTGAGGACTACACAGTACTGACTGTCAGGAGTTCCAAAGCATCCGCGCAGTTGTGGCCTGCTGCTTGTCTGGCTTGCGGGCAGCATCAAAGGAGTCAGGGGTGCCGACCACCAGGAGTTCCTGTGATGTTCCTACCTTTCTAGGGCGAAGAGTTCTCCAGACCTCTACATGTGTTCGGGATACTCTTGGCTTCCGTGGGAGTCCACACACATGCTTGCTGCTTCCTGCGTTCTCTTCGTGGATCCCCCCATGCTTAAGGGGAGGGGCCCCCCTCCCGCCTGTCCAGACCCCCCTTCCACTGCCACGCCTGCAGGTCTTCAGGGTTCACCCATGCTTCGTCCGTGGCATCATCGGGTAGCAGCAGTCGGACCTTCTTCATTCCGTCTTCAGCTGTCTCCAGCACATCCACTGCTGTGTTCAGTGGTACTTCGAGGCGGAGAGCGGCGTGCTGCGTGAGGCGGAGGCGAGTCGCCTGCAAGATTTTTAGACAAGGTGGATCTTCGTGGGCTGGAACCCTCAGCCTGCGGACCCCGAACTTGTTCTAACATCGCCCCTTGGGTCCTACGGTACGTACCCCAGGCCCCTTCTACGATCCCCCTTCTCATCAACAGCAAGGCAGCCTTAGAAACTTCTTCTATGTGCACTCAGACCCCAAGGCAGGGGGTGTCCAAAAATGAAGTCCCCACACCCAATCCGTTGCGCCACCTCGCGGCACTGTGAATTTGGGAGTTCAGGACCTCGGGATGGTAATCCCATGTCTGCCGGCCTCTGCCACGGTGGTCAAAAACGACCCGGCGGCAGGCGTTTCCTTGTTCCGGCTTGAGGTCACGAGCAATTTTCACAAAACCAGCGTTGCTGAAGGCGACTTTAGGCGTGTAAGGCGACGCATTTGCCAGTATCACGAACCCTTGTTGCACTCTTCTCCTCCTACCCCCCCCCCCCCCCCCGAAACTCTCAACCCTGCAATTGCAGTCTTCAAGCCAAACCATTCACGAGACCTCGTCAACCAAATTGCATTCCAGCTATTGCATGAAGCGTCCTGCTCCTGCATCGGCGCCCCATTTTGGGAATACCACCCTGGTGCAAAGACATCCGTCTTGAGGCAGGCGGTTCCAACTTGGAGCTCCTGCACATACCAAGGGCCATGTCTGGAACGACTGCAAGACATGACATCATGATTGAAACGGGGGGGGGGGGGAGGGGTTCCGATAATCAGGGGTCATAAGGGGTCCCCTTTTGGAGGTTCCTTTAATAAGGAATATACTACTATTTTGGGGGTCTATTAAGGGTACCCCATTTGGGGAAATACCCACATGAAGCCCACATGAGCAAGCAAGCCCCTGTCATATACAGCCTGGAAATACCATGTAGGCAGGCTGCACTATGAACTCTCGCGGCCGAGTTGCCAGGGGGCTGCCGAGGACTTGGTTCTCGAGCGCGCTGTGCATCCTACCTTGCAGTCCTATCCAGCCTCCGTCAAATCGCAAGGGGACCAGAAGTTCCAGCTTGTTCTTGTCAGCACCAATCTTCGAAACATAAGCTGCTGTCGGCTTTCTGAGTGCAGCCACGTACTTTTTTTTTAAGCTGGCGTCCGTGAAGATTGCTGTCATGATGTTTTGCTTGCGAACAGTACGAACCTCAAACTCAAGCTCGGCCTCCCCAACGGCTCTCACCAAGGTACCGACAGCCAAAGAAGCGTCAGCACTGCAATCTTGACAGTCCAAGCTGGAGCCAGAAATCTTCGCGGCAGCTTGTGCCAGAGCCACCAATGCGGTGCCTTTGCTGGAGCCCTTTCCTGCAACCGACTGCATCGGGAGTTTCAGTCTGACGGCAACGAGCCAAACCGAAGGACCACATAACTCCAGCCAATTGACGAAATGGATCTTCAACAGCACGGCTGCCAGCTTACTGAATGTGGCGACTTGCTGGTTGTGCACACGCTGTGGCTGTTGGGAAGCTACTGTGCAGATCGCCGCCGCGGCACTGAGCCGGGAGGTCCTCAAACTGCTCGCTGAAGCATCGAGCAAGGACTTCTGGCACTGCCAGCGTGCCAAAGAGCAGAGGCTTTCAGCGAGCTTTTGCACAGGCAGAAGTGAAGAAATCTCGAGAAACGGATAAGCTTGTTGTGCCCAGGAACAAGTGCGGTTGCTGGCAAAGGATCCCTGAACCAGCTGCTGTTTGACTAGATCATCACAAAAGGAGCTCTTCAGTCTTCTGGCTGCAGTCCGCAGCGGAGCGGCAGCACACCAATTCCCTACGCAAACAGCTGCAATTGCAGGCGTCCGCGAGGCAATCTTGAATCGGCACCGCTGCATTGCGGCAACACCACAATACCGAAACGAGCTGCCCTTGCTCAAGATTCCCCTGGAAAACAGCTTGTCAAGCAGGGCAGGCGTGATACCAGACCGGGAGGCTAGACGTTGCAGTCCTATCCAGCCTCCGTCAAATCGCAAGGGGGCCAGAAGTTCCAGCTTGTTCTTGTCAGCACCAATCTTCGAAACATAAGCTGCTGTCGGCTTTCTGAGTGCAGCCACGTACTGTTTTTTTAAGCTGGCGTCCGTGAAGATTGCTGTCATGATGTTTTGCTTGCGAACAGTACGAACCTCAAACTCAAGCTCGGCCTCCCCAACGGCTCTCACCAAGGTACCGACAGCCAAAGAAGCGTCAGCACTGCAATCTTGACAGTCCAAGCTGGAGCCAGAAATCTTCGCGGCAGCTTGTGCCAGGGCCACCAATGCGGTGCCTTTGCTGGAGCCCTTTCCTGCAACCGACTGCATCGGGAGTTTCAGTCTGACGGCAACGAGCCAAACCGAAGGACCACATAACTCCAGCCAATTGACGAAATGGATCTTCAACAGCACGGCTGCCAGCTTACTGAATGTGGCGACTTGCTGGTTGTGCACACGCTGTGGCTGTTGGGAAGCTACTGTGCAGATCGCCGCCGCGGCACTGAGCCGGGAGGTCCTCAAACTGCTCGCTGAAGCATCGAGCAAGGACTTCTGGCACTGCATGCCTGCCAGGGACAAAGCACCATAACAGCTTCTCATGCCACCACAGCCGTCTTGACAGGCCAAGCTGGGGCCGGAAATCTTCGCGGCAGCTTGTGCCAGGGCCACCAATGCGGTGCCTTTGCTGGAGCCCTTTGCTCCCGCAACCGACTGCATCGGGAGTTTCAGTGTGACAGGAGCGAGCCAATTCGAGGGACCAGATGTCTCCGGCCAATTGACGAGATCGATCTTCAACAGCACGGCTGCCACCTTACTGAATGTGGCGACTTGCTGGTTGTGCACACGCTGTGGCTGTTGGGAAGCTACTGTGCAGATCGCCGCCGCGGCATTGAGCCGGGAGGTCCTCAAACTGCTCGCCGAAGCATCGAGCAAGGACTTCTGGTACTGCATGCCTGCCAGGGACAAAGCACCATAACAGCTTCTCATGCCACCACAGCCGTCTTGACAGGCCAAGCTGGAGCCGGAAATCTTCGCGGCAGCTTGTGCCAGGGCCACCAACGCGGTGCCTTTACTGGAGCAAAGGGCTCCCGCAACCGACTGCATCGGGAGTTTCAGCCTGACCGGGGCGAGCCAAAACGAAGGACCAGATGACCCCTGCCAATGGACGACATGGATCTTCAACAGCACGGCTGTCAGCTTACCGAATGTGGCGACTTGCTGGTTGTGCACACGCTGTGGCTGTTGAGAAGCTACTGTGCAGATCGCCGCCGCGGCACTGAGCCGGGAGGTCCTCAAACTGCTCGCTGAAGCATCGAGCAAGGACTTCTGGTACTGCATGCCTGCCAGGGACAAAGCACCATAACAGCTTCTCATGCCACCACAGCCGTCTTGACAGGCCAAGCTGGAGCCGGAAATCTTCGCGGCAGCTTGTGCCAGGGCCACCAACGCGGTGCCTTTGCTGGAGCCCTTTGCTCCCGCAACCGACTGCATCGGGAGTTTCAGTCTGACAGGAGCGAGCCAGTCCGAGGGACCAGATGACTCCAGCCAATTGACGAAATGGATCTTCAACAGCACGGCTGCCAGCTTACTGAATGTGGCGACTTGCTGGTTGTGCACACGCTGTGGCTGTTGGGAAGCTACTGTCCAGATCGCCGCCGCGGCACTGAGCCGGGAGGTCCTCAAACTGCTCGCTGAAGCATCGAGCAAGGACTTCTGGTACTGCATGCCTGCCAGGGACAAAGCACCATAACAGCTTCTCATGCCACCACAGCCGTCTTGACAGGCGCCGGAAATCTTCGCGGCAGCTTGTGCCCCAGATGTCTCCGGCCAATTGACGAGATCGATCTTCAACAGCACGGCTGCCAGCTTACTGAATGTGGCGACTTGCTGGTTGTGCACACGCTGTGGCTGTTGAGCAGCTACTGTCCAGATCGCCGCCGCGGCACTGAGCCGGGAGGTCCTCAAACTGCTCGCTGAAGCATCGAGCAAGGACTTCTGGTACTGCATGCCTGCCAAGGACAAAGCACCATACCAGCTTCTCATGCCACCACAGCCGTCTTGACAGGCCAAGCTGGAGCCGGAAATCTTCGCGGCAGCTTGTGCCAGGGCCACCAATGCGGTGCCTTTGCTGAAGCCCTTTGCTCCCGCAACCGCCTGCATCGGGAGTTTCAGCCTGACCGGGGCGAGCCAAAACGAAGGACCAGATGACTCCAGACAATTAACGAAATGGATTTGCAGCAGCACGGCTGCCAATGTGGCGTCTTGCTGGTTGTGCACACACTGTGGCTGAGAAGCTACTGTGCAGATCGCCGCGCCATTGAGCCGGGAGGTCCTCAAACTGCTCGCTGAAGCATTCAGCTGAAGTTTGGCCACGCTTCTTTTGACACAAAGCCCATGGCCATAAACACCCTCTGCCTTAGCAATCACTGGCGATCTCAACGAATCACATTGGCCCCAAAGTTCTAAGCCTCTAGTTCCGCCCCTGGAAACCGCGTAAGAGCTGCTTGTTGTAACTTGGCGAGGTCCACACTTGCCTCTTGCAGCATCTTCGCATCTCCTGGCGGATCAAGATACACAGCCCTTAATAAGGACCAGTGGAGTCACAAGCCCGCAGCCCTGAAAGCGCTGTTCGGCTCAAGAAGCCTAACAACCCTGCAAAGAGGCACGGCAATCAGTAACCACCATAAAAGCAAGAGAACCCTGAAAGTTTGCACGTCCATCTAAAGTGGAACATAGGAAAGGAACAAGCAGAAGATTTCATGGGCAGGAGATAGAGTGGCGAGTTTCAACAGAGATTTGGCACTGGATTCGGTTGATCAATAACAGTGGAAGCGAGTGCCAGTTCAAGGTGAGAGAGTCACAAGAGGTTGACAACGCACCAAACGAGCGAGTGAACCATACCATCCCCAAGTGTCCGTATCAATCGACAGCCAAGGTTGACCGTGTAACTACGAATCATTCTCTGAATTCAGCCCAGGTACGTCCAACATTCTCCTTTCCCCACATCATACCTCAGATCTCGCCGCCAAGCACGAGAAACAAAAGAACACCACGGGCTAGCTTCAAAGCCAGCGTCCTACTTGCTTCCACAAGCGCTGACTGTTGAGTTCTAGGCACTGCCTGACACTCTTGCAGGTAAGACACCCTACTACTTCACGCACGTCCAAAGCTCCGACGAGTTGCTCCGCAGGTCCAGTTTTCTCTCCAACACCTTCGCCACCACGTCGAAATCTTTACCTGAAATCAAGGAGTAACCATTGAAAGGAAAACATGTGGCACAGCAATTGCTTGGGTGTAAATGAAAATGCCCTACCTAATTCGTACATGTATGCACACATATGGTCTTTACGTATGTACATACGTATGTATGCTATATGTAAATATGTATAAGTGTTCTTGTATATAAGATATGTAGATGTGTATACATGTATGTATATATGTATATGTGTATATATGTATATATATGTATATATGTATATATGCATACATGTATGTATGTATGCATCTATGTATCTATGTATCTATGTTTTTGTGTATATATGTGTATATGTATATATGTATATATGTTTCTATGTATATATGTATATATGTATATATGTATATATGTATATATGTATATATGTATATATGTATATATGTATATATGTACATATGTATATATGTATATATGTATATCTGTATATATGTATATATGTATATATGTATATGTATATGTATATAAGTATATAAGTATTTATGTTATATGCATATATGTATGTATGTATATATATATACATATGTATATATGTGTATATATGTATGTATAATGGTATATATGTATATATGTATATATGTATATATGTATTATGTATATATGTATATATGTATATATGTATATATGTATATAGTATATATGTTTATATGTATATAATGTCTATATATATATGTCATATGTATCTATATGTCTATATGTATATATGTATATATGTATATATGTATATATGTATATACGCATATATGTATATATGTCTATATGTCTATATGTCTATATGCATATATATGTCTATATGTCTATATGTATATATGTATATATGTATATTTGTATATATGTATATATGTATATATGTATATATGTATATATGTATATATGTATATATGTATATATGTATATATGTATATATGTATATATGTATATATGTATATATGCAGATATGTATACATGTATATATGTGCATATGTGTGTATATATATATATATGTGTGTGTGTGTGTGTGTAGATTCCAAATTTCCAGACTTGCAAGGCCAACACGATGTAATCTCTGAACGATCGTGCCTGAGCACTTCTGGCAATCTGGAATCCGGGGGCCCGGGAACATTGGCCCATGCAAATCTGGAAATTGGAATCTGGAAATCTGCAATCTGGAATCTGGAGGCCCGGGAACATTGGCCTTGCAAATCTAGAAATCTGGAATCAATATTTTCGTTAAGTTAATTACTTTAAACGGCTTCATTCAGGGTCATGAAATGTCCATGTAGTTAAAGTAGTTTAACTACCTAAACTCACTATATTGAGTACGGTTCTCAACCTCGCTCTAAACCTCGCTGTAATCATATAAACAGTTCAAGTCAGGATCTAATCAATCAGTAAATAAAATGAAGCCATTACATACTTTTCAGGTCCTGAAACTAGAGTCTGCAAAAGCTTTTATTGGCCCTGAATAAATAGAACCATTCTTTGAAGCATATGTAAATAACAGTATTCTTGTATTAAAATAATTACTTGGACCAGTTTGAATTTACAAACTAACTTGCACCAAATTAGACTACTTAAACTAGGTGAATTCATGAATAAGCTACATTCTTAAAGCAAATCGTGAAGTGCATGTTAGATAAATTGAAAGCCAATTAAACTATCTAAAATCTAATGTCAGGACCAAACTGAATTATTGCAAAACTTCCTTTATTTAGTCTAGTGGACCCTTAATTTAATATTTTACAATTACAGTACGTGAATAAATTCAATGAGCTAACGATACGCACGAAATTTCCAAGACAAAGCCGACCGCTGCTTGTGAGGAAAGTAATTGCGTTCTCAAACCAGTTTTGAAGATTCAATAGTCTAATTAGCTGTGACAGCCAATTAAAAAATCTGAAAGCTAGGCTAGTTTGAAACTTTCCGTTACTCAGTTTATATGGACCGTTCATTCAATTGAAAATACTTACATTGTTTAAAAATATTGGATTGGCTACAGAAGCGCGTTCTCAAAATCGATTTTTGAGAGTTCAATGCTCAATTCGTTTTTTCACTCTATTAATCTAACTGGCACCTGGTTAAATTATCAAACTCGAGTTTGGGCATGTCAACATGTTAAGTATTTTAATTGGCCCTTAAATTGGTTAAACCTTTTGTGTAGCTTCATTATGCTCAGTTCCTGATACTAGGGTTATTACCTAATTTAATTGGCCTTTAATGAAAAACCTTAATAATCTTTTACATGATGTATCAGATGCATATATTCTCAAATCCGATTTTGGTACTTTAATTAGTTTCAGCAATCTTTTGAGGACCATTTATATTCGTTAAATTAATTCAGCTCTCAACTTTTACCTCCTTCAAATCGCCTACTTTACAGTAATAATAAATGAGTGAAACACTTTAAGCCACTAACTAGATGAACTAAATTCGTTCTATTTAGATGCTGACACTAAACCAATTGATGATGCAATTCGCCTTGAAATTTAGCGTTCTCCAACGAGAAGCAGCCGCGCTTTTTCAACACTGCTTAAAAAGTCGCTACAATTTCGGGCCATAGCTTCTAGCATTTCGGGGTTTTTGGGTTTTCGGGATTTTTCAAACCGGATCGAGTCTGGTGCCCTTGTGGGTCAAGAACTTTTGGTTTTTCGAGCCAGCTCGAAAAAAACCTAAAAGTTATCAAGGAAACAAGACTGGACTATGATTTCCGGATTTCGGGTTAAAAAACTTTTCGAGTCTGGTAGAGTCAACCAAAATTGTGTTTCTCGGGCCGGCTCGACAAAAGCCTGAATTATGAAGTAGGGCTGTATGTCACGTCTTTGTGATGCAAAGCTTTGTGCGCTTGCAGATAAATACATGAATAACTTACATCCAACAGCCTCAGAACCAAAAACAAGCAGAATTATGCAACACCCTTGCGAACCAAGATCTTGGTTGCATCTTCAGATGCGTTCTTCTCATTGTCCTGTCACAAACACCGCTGGCCATCAGCTTTCAGTGTGTCTTCAATCACATCTTTGCTGTCCTCCAAGACCGTCGTGATGGCCCGCTCGAGGATTGTGCTTCTTCTTTCGACAAAACTCGCATGTTGATCTGATTTGATCGGCTCTTTGCTTGAAAAACACAAATCATGAGATGCTTCGACCTGATTGGCACTCGGCTGTCTGCTGTTTTCTAAGGCAGCGCAGTCTTGAGCACAGAATGCCGCGCGGACGCGCAAATTGACACACACTCATTCGCGAACACGTGCCGGGGTAGGCCAGGCGTTTGTCTAGCAAGCTCGAGCCGCGCCAATTTTCAAAAGCTGGCACTATTCAGCGACTGGAGAGGCATCCCACAAAAAAAACTCCACGACCCTACGAGCTCTCAGTAGCAATTCTCCCTCCCCTCCCTGCTGCCCCTCCCTTCCAAGCGAAGGCTTATCGCTTCCTGCCCCTCCACTGACATGAGCTGCATACATGGGAGAGTTGCCACCAAGAAGGCCATCGCCCATCTCCACAACATCCTATCACGTCGAGTACCACCGAGTCAAGACACCAGGAAAAGAAAGGGCATGTGAAAGACCACAACAGCCACGACGATGACGGGGAGACACACCACGTACAACCACGAAAGTGACAATGGCAGATGGGATACGACCGCTACTACAGACCACCACAATCACACAGGTGAGCACGGAAGACCGGGGGAGAACGTCTAGGAGGCCACAGAATTCCGAGCATGTGAAACACCATCGCTCGGGCACCGACGACCCCATGACAAGTGGTTGCCTGCCCACGGACACAGCGCCGAGGAAGGTCCAGAGGAGAGCGAACAGTGGTATCGCGACTGGGAGAACAAAGCACAATGATAGCAAACTACATCCTGGAAGACGACCTCGCAATCCACATGGAAAACAGCAACCGCAGCACCAGGTAGTTCTAGGGAG